AAAAAAATGGAAACAAGGTCTTTGCAAATAGGGAAGGGTGGAGGGGGTGAAGGGGGGGCAAGGGAAGGGGAAAAAAATAAGAACCAAGAGACTCATGTAATGGTACAAAATCCCAATGATGAATGTAACTATATTTTATACCTAAAATGTACCAATAAAGTTAATGGGGGGGGGGAGAAAGCAAGCAAGAATTGTGTGGTATACTTGGAAGTACATGGTCTTTAGAGTAAGTCCTGACACTTAAAGATTCAGATGGAACCTGCTGCTCACCAGCTGTGAGTGTCAAGGAAGTCAGTTCACCTCACTTTACTTCAGTGTCCTCAATCTGTTCGGTGAAGAGGTTTGACCTGTTTGACAGTTTTTCTGACAAATAAAAGTCCTATTCACTATAAAGTATTTTAGATATTATTGTATATGTTGAGGGAGGTAGGAAATAGTAGTTGCTGCTACAAATCCACAGCCTTACTTAATATTTACACATGCTACTTAATCTTACTCCACTGACGAGAAAACTGAGGACAGAGGTGGTAAAGTGAATTGCCCAAATATATAGCTTGCTGGCGAGTGGCTTAGCTATTGACCTAGGCTCTTTCTGCTATTTCACTTAGGTTTCCATTAATAGGTAATAATGTGGAAAAAATAACAGAAGAACAAACTACATCTGAACTGATGTATAGTTTTAACCTGATGCCCCCTTTCCCTCCGTGAAATGTACTTGCTGATCCAACAGCCAGCTGAACTCTGAAGACTAAGTAGACTGCTACATAGCAAACATGTACATTTCTGTACTTAACTTTTGAGTATTTTCTGAAGGGCAGTTGTGTTCATTCACAAACCTGTTTTTAACAGTTATACTTGCTATGGTAATTATAAAACTTTAGTAAACATGTAAGCTAATGAAAATGTAAAAACAAGAATTCGCTTGTGTTCTTTGGGATGTCTCAATATAAAAGAGTTGTTTAAGAAATTTACTGTCATGTTGAATGAAGGCTGGATAAAAGTAAGAAGACAAAAGCCATCAAAGTTTAATGCTGTATCACAATCCACAGACCAGTCACCTGTTCTTCTAACTATTAGTAGTCCTTAAGGAAATAAGAGGCAAATTAACCAGAATGCAAATTAACTGTAGCCCTAACTACCCTGTTTGTGCTGACATTTTGTTTTTCATGGTTAAGACCTCCTTAGAGAAAGCAATTCTTAATACCTACACCATTAGTCTGATGGATTCTGTGTTCACATTCTTTCAGAAAAATGCTTTTAAGTTCTCTCTCCATTTGTAGGAACCATGAGTGGAAATCATACATGATGATGGAAAATTTTTTTTTTTTTCGGTACCGGGGATCGAATTCGGGTCCTTGTGCTTGCGCAGCAGGCAGCGAAACCACCAAGCTAAATCCCCAGCCCCGATGATGGAAATTATTATTGGCATGACTTATGCAAGAAAGATGACCTAAACTCAGTAGGAGACTCTTAGCAAATTCTGTATATAGCATTAACTCTGTATAAAAAGATTGTGAGTGAATATGCATTTGTATGTTCAAATTAAAATAACATCGTTAAGGGTATGTAAATATCTTTTATTTATGATTATTTTTTCATTTAAGGGACCAATTATAGGTTTCATCTAACAAGGGAACTTTTCACTGTACTCCAGAGTTCCAGGTTGACTGGAAAAATATCTTTGGCCTCTGCAGCTGTCCCAGCTCACCTTACTAACAGTTTATCCTGTGAATTTCTTATATATCTTTATTGTACTCTATTGCATTTTTAAAAGGAAATTGTCAGTTCCTGTACTATAAGTGAATCAAAAGATCTAGTCCTGTCTATACCGTTCATAAAGAAGATGTTAAATAAATAATTTGATAAAAAACTATTAAATTATCTGAACAAGTAGTTTGGGATACTGTATGATCATATAAATGGATATAATTTACTCTAAAGGTTAAAATTTACTCCACTTTTTCCATCTTAATGTTATAGGTGTGTGTCATAGCACTTCTATTTATGGTATGGAAACAAATAAGATTGCTTTTATTAGATTGCTTTTAGATTGAAACCATACTTCAGTTTTCAGTTTGTGTCAGAGTTCTTGACTGTTGGATTTTTAGTCTACCAAGTGGATTGCAAAATCGATTTCCTTAGTTTATTGCAGATGAATTTTAATTTGATATTTATGTTTTATGAAGATAACCAGGGTACAGCCCATCATTCATCTGTTCTCACCTTTCTGATTTTTTAAGTACTGTATAAGCTACCTTCTGCTCTAGAGCCCTATTCCTAGGTTGCTAGAGGTATCATTAAAACTAGAATTGTCTGCAACTATAGTCAGTCTTCGCAGAATAATTTACTAAAATTTATTTATTTATTTATTTATTTTGGTGCAAGAGATCGAACTCGGTTCCTTGTGCTTGCCGGGCAGGCGGTGGAACCACTGAGCTAAATCCTCACCCCTCATAATTTTGTTTGGTTTTTTTTTTTGGTACCGGGGATCAAACTCAGAACCTTGCGCTTGTGAGGCAGGAGGCAGAACCACTGAGCTAAACCCCCAGCCAATTTACTAAAATTTATTACGTATTATATTATAATTTACTATATTCTTACTTCCTTATGTATATACTAAATCCTTCCTTTCTTATTGATGACATTCTTCTTCTCCCACTCACCAAGGTTTGAAAATGTTGTCATCTTTGACTTCTTTCTGTGTATTTGCCACAAATATCCTAAGGTCTTTTTCTGTATTATTTTTAACATTTATCCCTCTTTCAGATCTTGTTTCTTCCAGACAAGTTTCAAATGCCTCTCGTACTGTAGAATTTTCTAAATAGTTTTCCTCCTGATGGTATGTATCCTCCCTCAGAAAACCATTTTCACCATTGCCACATTCATCTTCAGGAGGTGTATCTCTAAATCCTCATCTCAGAACCTCTTTCTCATCCAAGTAAAAGACATATTCCCTAATAATTATAAATGTTTCATTCAAGACCTACTTCTGCTTGATTTTAAGATCTTTCATGTCAAGATCTGTGCCATTAATTTATTCATTTTAAGATTTTAAATTCACTAAATATCTGAATGCCATGTAATATACCAAATGTTGGGAATGTAGTGGTCCCTGTCCTGATGAATTTTATAGTCTTATTTTCCCATCTTTGTATTCTATATTTATCTAAATACAGGGTTGTTTTCTTTTATAATATCTTTGTAAGGTTGGAGAAGTACAGAGTATCTCATATATTTCTAGAATTTAGTTCAAGGTTAAAAAACATCCTAAGTTTTTTCCAGTCTGGGTAGATAATTAACTGATATTTTCTGTCATCATGCATTTTTAAGTATTAAGTGAAATTTAAACATTAATAGAATTATGCTAGCATTCAAAATTTTGGAATAAGCCAAATTCTAATAGAAAACTAATGAAGTTTTTAAAGAATCATGGAATTACTGAACTTTCAAATCATGTGATATAACTCATTCTTTTTATAATTGAGGAAAAATTTAGAGATAAGTGCTGCTGGGCTAGCATAGTAAAATTAGTTCTTAGTTTTTTTATTAGATATAACAGTATATTTTACATACTTAAAACTATAGGCATAGATCCATTAAAATTAATTATTTGTAAATACTGTTACCTAAAAAACCTATGGAGGGGCCGAGGATGTAGCTCAGTGGCACCGTGCCTGCCTCACAAGTGCAAGGTCCTAAGTTTGATCCCTGGTACCTATGGGAAGAAAGATTTGTGTAATCATGATTACCTATATAAACTAGTTGACATATAACTGATTTAAATTGTTGAGTGAAGCCATAGCATTTTTTTCTTTTAAATTCTTTTATTGGCACATTTTAGGTATACAATATGTTTACATTTATCTTTGGGTGCTTGTACTTGTACATGATGAATCTTGGTTCTTATTTTTTTCCCCATTACCTGTGCACCCTTCACCCCCTCCACCCTTCCCTATTTACATAGATTTCGTTTTCATTTTTTTTCTTTTCTCATAATTTTTCTTTCCCTTCTTTCCTTTCCCCTTCCCCTCCCACCACCCCTACACCTTTGGACCAGCATTTTAAAAAAAAAAAAAAAAACAGGGAAAAGAACACACAAAATTTATTACATGTCTACATGGGAGTATTAGACTTTGAAGCCATAGCTGTAAAAGGCACACTGCTGAAGTGTTCATTTGTACTCTATCTTAATGATATATCGTTGTTTCCTTTGTAATACTGACTCATGTCATCTTTTAAATTCACAGACTAACATTTGAGAAGATTTAAAGCAGAAATTTCAGGTAGATTCTTTAATTACATTTTGAAAAGTATTTATAATTGACACTTATTATCTAAGTAATGTGTGGGCTTTTTTATCTCAAGTTTAACTTGAACTAAATCAAGGTTATTAAGATGAAAGAGAAGTACAGAATATAATTTTATAATCAGGTTGATAGCTTCCCAGCCTTTTGGCTAAGATCAAGTGTATAATCAGGTTGAAAAAAGTACATGTCAGTTTGAAAAGACAACTGTTTAGCCATTGGACTTCAAAGTGATAAGAATTTTGTGGCTTGAGAATGAAAAAGAAATTGAGAAAAAAAGAAATTCTTAGAATAACATTGTGATTGTTTTCTCAAGGTAAAAAATACTGAAATAATTTGCCACCAGAGGTAAATGTTTCCCTAATATGGTTTGTTTGTTTGTTTAAGGGAGAGTTTTGCTATGTAGTGCAGGCTGGCCTTGAACTCACTATATAGCCCAGACTGGCCTCAAAAGTGGCAATCCTCCTGCCTCAGCCTCCCAAGTGCTGGGATTACAGGTGTGTGCCACCATGACCAGCTCTCTAATATGTTTTAAATATTAGTATCTTAAATTATTTTATAAGCTAAAAAACACAATATAAATGCATTTTGTTACGCTGTTATATATGTTATTGGATTCATTCATTATTAGAAAAATGTTGATTGAGCATTGCTGTTTGCCAGATACTAATCTAAGTGGTGGGGTTACAGTGCTGCCCCAAAAGTAATGTTTACTGGAATTGAATTTGTAGTGAAGTTAAAGACAATAAGCAAATAAACATCAAATATGCCAGATAGTTTAACTGTTATGAAAACAGTTGAGAAGGTCAGGAAAATAGAGAATAAGGGGTCTAATTTTTATAGACTAGTTAATGAAGACCATTCTGCTAATTTAACCATGTAATAATTTTTAGTATGTATTGATCTTTTGTAAATAAGTATTTTTTAATCAGAGTTCCAGAAATATTTACCTGAAACAGTTTTACATTGTTTGGCAAAAGTCAATGGAACAGAAGAAAAATAGTGTTTTAAAGTGCCATCAAAACAGTACTTAAGGCAACTACGTATTTGTCATAAAGAGAATATCAGAAATATGACTCCTACAAATCAAGAAGATAAAGATAGATGGAAACAAAAGCAAGAGACCTAAACATCTGTTTGATAAAGGACCTTCAAATAACCAGTAAACATGAAAAAATTATGAATAACATCAGTAATCAAGGCAATATAAAAGAAAAACAAATGAGACACCACTACACACTCAACAGAATGACTTAAGATTAAAAAGGCTGACAATACCAGCAACTGTCCACATGTGGAGTGACTAGAATTCTCAAGCTCTACTTGTAGGAGTGTAAATTGGTAGCAGCAGTGGCAGTTGAACATGTATATACTTTATGATCTAGCAGTTCACCTCTGGAGGTAGATAGATAGATAGATAGATAGATAGATAGATAGATAGATAGATAGGTAGATAGATCATTCTTGTACCAGACAATGTGTACAATGTTTATATAGCAGCATTATTTGCAGAAATTTAAAATAAGACAATTCAGATGTGTCGGGTAGATGGATTTTAATGGTTGTATATTTATAAAGTGGAATATTATATTGCCATAAAATCTAACCATCAGCTACTGCAGACAACAGATCATTTTCTTAGGGGGTTGGTGCTGGGGATTGAACCCAGGACCTCTTGCTTGTTAGAGAACTACTGTACTACTCAGCTATACCCCCACCCCCAGACAACAAATTGATTTCAAAATGATGTTGAATAAAAGAATACATCTGAATGAAATTCAAAAGCAGATAAAACTTATGCTAAGGATGATGGTTATTTTTGGGCAGGGGCATTAGGAAGATTTCTTGAGTGCTAGTTATCATAATCAGTTTTTTAACCCAAGAGCACCCGTTGGTTGACTCGTAATTCATTGAGCTCTCCAGTTTTGACTTGTACACTTTTCTTTTGTGTGTCAAACTTCAGTTTTAAACTAGTTTCATCCATCTGAAAAATAGGTTAGAAAAAATATTTCCAAAACAAAAATTACAGAGTGAATGTTTATAATAAACAAAAAGCTCAAGGCCAGTGTCATCTGGAGTAAGAAAATCATAATACTCATTAACTACTGGGCCTGTGAATAGATGAGAAGGGCACACTCATTTACATTTGCAATGTGAATTGTAGGAAAGTTAAAATGTTCAAATTTAAAAGACATATACCTTTACCCCAGCTATTCTACTCCTGTGAATATGTTCTACATACATAAAAACCTCACAGGTATGTTTATTTCAATTTTAGTAGCAAACAAAAACTTGAAGCAACCCAAATGGCTATTAGCAAAGAGTTAGTCTAATGCGTTATTTTACAATTGTGAAATATCATCCAAGTATTAAATAATTTAAATTTCCATATGTATATAAAATTAGGCAAGAAAAGCAAAATGCCAAAATTATGTATGTGATCTCTTATAGAAAAAACTGAAGCTCCTGTAAATGTGTCTATAAGTGTGTATGATTTTAGGAATATGAAGAGTGGTATGAATAGCTGTACAGTAATCTCTCTACACTGATTACTGGGGAGAATGAGGGGAAGAACATTGACAAATAAAGGTAACCAGTGACAAAGCCTGTGATGAGTCCACTCATGTAAAAGGTTCTTTGTGTGTTTGTGTGTGTGTGTGTATGCGCGTGTGTGCGCGCACGCATGCCATGATCATGGCAGTAGTGGTTGGCCTTTTCCAATCCAAGATCCCTTTAACATCAGCAAGCCTATTTCAATTCTGATCACCCACATGCCTTCCAGATACTCAGAACAGCTACTACATTAAAGAGGTATTATATGTCCAGTGTGATCTCAAAATCCTGATGGAAAAGACAACTTGGACCCTTTGAGATAGGAGCACAGTTTAACACTTTTTTGTTTCTTCTTAAGCCTTTGAATTTCTTCCTACAGAGAATTATGTTGAGAAATATTTCACATCCCAGTGGCCTTTAGTGAAGGCCACTATTGAGTTAGGCTTCAGTCGGATAACCAAACAACAAAACAACTAAAATCACTTCTAGCTATTGGAGCTAGCACTTACTGTAATTAAAATCGGGTAAGTGCTCTTATATTAATTGATTGAGTCTAATTTAAATTTTTATTTATATGAAATTATATTTACTAAAATTTATTTTATAATACTCATTTAATTGTCCTTTCCTTTGTCAAATACAAGTTTTAAACTCTTTTTCCCCCCCTATCCTAAGGATTGAACCCAGAGATTGCACAGCCAAATTCCCAGCCCTTCTTATTTTGAAAGAGTCTCACCAAGTTGCCCAGGCAACAGGTATGGACCACCATATCTGGCTAAAACTTCTTAAAAGCAAGATATGTTCACGATTCATCTATCTCTTATATCTTGTACATATAGATACTGATATTTTGCTTGAGTGAAGAGTACAGAAATGGCTAGATCATTATGAACTGTTCCACTGGCAGTCTGTCAATCTATATGATGTATTGCAAGATGTTTATCATCTGCACCCTGCCCACTCAGTGCCTACAGCATGCCAGTCATTCCAACTAAAAATCTACTCTTGCTTCAGTTTCCAAAATCCTTTGTTGGGGAGGGAGGTTGGTGCTACCATTCTTAAGAATAGAATAATGAAGTATTTATAAGGCTGACAGTGCTTGAACTATACCTTGAAGAGCAAATTTTGTTTTGTTTCTTTTGTAGTATTAGGATTTGAACCCAGGGAGCACTGAACTACATCCCCAGCCCCCTTTTTTAAAAAGAATTTTATTTTTATTTTGAGAGTCTTGCTTAGTTGCCCAGACTTGCCTCAAATTGATAGTCCTCCTAATTCAGCCTCCTGAGTAACTAAGATTACAGGCATGTGTTGCTATGCCCGGCTATGAGTAGGATTTTAAAACCAGAGAAATTGAAACTTAGTAACAGCATTATAAAAGAAGGAGCAACATAATGTAGACTGTCTTCACAGATGAAGCAGTGTGTCTGTTTTGGAAAATAGTTAGAAATAAAGTTAGGTAGAGTAGTGTTAGAGGGTATTTATTGAGAGGAGGAGTATGCCTACATAAGAGGGGGAAGACTCATTTCACTCTCTGATACCACCAAATGAATTTTCCAAAACCATTTCCCCTGTTCAACTGTCCACTTAATAACACCTTTACTTTATGCTCGAGGTATTTTATCTCATCATATTTGTCTAACTTTATCTCTTGTTCCTTATCTCTGGCTAGTCAAACAGATTTCCCCCTCTTTCCTTGTCAGTATGCTCACTTCCTGTGTTTATTAATCTTTCTTTGTATAAATCTAGCATCATTCTACCTAAACAACTTCTTACTATTCTGAAGAAATGGGCTGTAATACTACACCATCCTGATACCTTCTTTCTCTTTCTTAATTTTTATGGTTTCTCCCACAGTATTTAGCACAGAATTGTACATGGCCTTTCATGCTTCTCATTCTTGTTTTTTTATGAGTCATTTTTAATCTCCTAAACAGCTGTGTAATTAAGAAACATACCTCAACATTTTTTAAGCCTCCAAAACAGCTTTTCGTTTGTTTTGTTTTTTTCACTCAGATGGTATAGTTATTGCCTTTGTGTGAAATTATTTGACATAGGAGTAGATATTGAATGCTGTAAATAAAAAAATTCTGCCTTTGTAAGTCATGAAATGTTAATATTACAGCATTATAATGTTTCATATTTTAACTTGTCAAATATTTCTTGATTCAATAACTAGATTTAATTATGGACAGGTTAGAAACCAGCAATGCCTAAAAGAATCATTACTCATGATAACTATTTTATTTGTTTTATTAATTTGCCATCCATGTTCACACCATTGTTTTGCTGACAACAGAGTGCACCATTATGGTACTTGAACATCCAAGAAATAGTCCTATCCCAGTCCTTGGTAGCTTTCTCGAGCCACACCTTCCTTTTTCTAAGTAGTGCCGTAGGATATGGACATTATCTAAATGGAAGTGGCCCTATTATTTATAGAACAAAATTACTTTCAGGTTATTTATTTGAAAAAGAATACTGCTACATTTTGATCTTTCGTAGTTTTCAAACTTTTTAATCCTAATTCTCCCCTCTCTTTTTTTCTTGTTCCAAATGAAATCTTACCATGATCTTACTGTATTAATTAAGTACAGTCCTTTTGGTTTTGGTTTTGGTTTTGTTGGGTTTTTTGAGGGGGTTTTTTGTTTTGTTTTTTTGTTTTTGGTACCGGGGATCAAACTCGGGACTTTGTGCTTGTGAGGCAGGCGATGGCACCACTGAGCTAAATCCCCGGCCCAGCACAGTCCTTTTTGAAAGGAAAAGATAGCGGCAGAAGGTAACAGTCTGGACACCACCTTTCCATTCCTCCCTCCTCACCCCCATCCAAAGAGCACAGCTTGGAAAACATCGTAACTCATCTCACTAAAAATGCTTTTTTAAAACTTGATTTGTGATATCTCACCAAGGAACTGGGTTTAAAAATATAAATATTTTGATTGTAAAGTGATTTGTAAGTACAAAGGGAAATGTTCTGGAACATTTCTTGTTTCGGCAGTAAAACAGTTAATACAGTAGAGACGGAGATACTGCACTGGGATAGTGCTTTCTGTCTCCCTCATTTGTGGTTTAAGAAAAGGGGGTGGTGTTCTGCATTTGAAAGGACTTTAATGAATGCTGTCAGTGTTTGTGAGAGCTAATGGTCAGTATGGGAAAGGAGAGCAAGGAAAGTGGTCTAGCTGCTTCAGGATAGGTGGATGAGAGTTTGCTCTGATTGAACGGAATGTTCCACCGTGTTTCATCTTTATTCATTATCCTTTGTTCTTTAAAAATCTGATATATTGGCATAAAAGTAAATGTAGATATATATATATGAATGTCATTTATTTTCCTTTAAATCTGTTTGTTGTGTACAGCAGGGCTTATTACTTCTCTTGTCTTGGTTGGATGCACAAATCTGTGTGCAGTGCTTTTTGCCCGTTGCCTAGACGATCACATTGGTTTCTCTGAGGATGTCTGGTTCTCGTAAAGAGTTTGATGTGAAACAGATTTTGAAAATCAGATGGAGGTGGTTTGGCCATCAAGCATCATCTTCTAATTCTACAGTTGACAGCCAGCAGGGAGAATTTTGGAATCGAGGACAGACTGGAGCAAACGGTGGGAGAAAGTTTTTAGATCCGTGTAGCCTGCAATTGCCTTTGGCTTCAATTGGTTACCGAAGGTCCAGCCAACTGGATTTTCAGAATTCACCTTCTTGGCCAATGGCATCCACCTCTGAAGTCCCTGCATTTGAGTTTACAGCAGAAGATTGTGGTGGTGCACATTGGCTGGATAGACCAGAAGTGGATGATGGCACTAGTGAAGAAGAAAATGAATCAGATTCCAGTTCGTGCAGGTTGATTATTTTCTTACTGTTAGAAATGGGATGGGGGGGGGGTATATGCTCTGTAATGTTATTAAATAGTTTAGTATTTATTATTTAAAATCTATTATATGCACATCTGTATGCATCTGCATATATAGTATCTTGGTATGAACATGTACTTTTGCTAGGATTTTTTTAAATGTTCTAACAATTCTATAAAATTATGACAACAAATAGAATTCATTTTGAAATATCTTCTGTTCCATATATAGATCTGACTCTGCTTTGAAAATAATACAAAGCAGCAGTTTTATGCATCATTGCCTAGCAGTTTGCTTTATTCATTTACTGTCTGTATTCATAGCAAAACTATGAAAGATATTTCTATGGTATAAAATTTTGTGACATTTTAGCTTATAATAAGCTATAGAGTCAATTTTTAATTTAATGGAAATGAAAGGTTTGGCACATCATAGTTCCCTATTTTTTGACACCATTTTAGTTGTCAATAATATTTCTCTGTGGTTATTTCTCTTTGTCCTGTCTATATTGCAGCTCCCAGACTAATACAGAGGATACTAAGTAACATGTCTTTTTTTAAGATGATAGCTATTAATTCCTGTTACCTTCACTTTCACTGAAATTCATGCTATTTAGAGAAATAAAGGACATTCTTTCAGGAGAGTTTAAGGGAAGATAGAAGGGCTTGATGTAACTGGTGAAGGGGCAAAAAGGAGAATGAGTTAGAAGAAAGAAAATAAAGAAAAAATTGATAATTTTGTAATGACCTTATTCATCTGACTTTAACTTTGAAATAGATGTTATTAATCAGTTTAAACCACTAGAACATATCATGTAAGGAGTTAGAGCATGAAAGTCATCATTCAGATTCATTTTTACTCAAAAATATTTCTAAATATTTAAAAGCACAAAGCTTATCACAAAGCTAGTTTGATTACTGTCTTAAAATTTTTTTGCAGATTTTGTATACACTTAGAATTTGTAAATTGGTTATTCTTATTACAGGCATTATAAGGGGCATTGAGATAAAATTAATTCATATATTCAAGTATCTCTTACTTTTCCTCTTCTAATCTTTAGAACATGGAATTCTGAACTGTGGTGTTGGAATGATAAAAAATATAAACCAGTCCTCTGTAATCATTTGTGTAATGGAGAGAGGGGAATATCTTTACATAGGTAAATAGTATATTTTTAAAATTTTAAGTTAGTTCATGACATTGCATTATCTTAAGGGACTAGGAGCCACTAAAATTTTTAATATGGGAGATCAGTTAAGCGAATGTGATTTCCTTGATTTGTGTTTTCTTTGGAAACTTGTTGCCATTAAGAGAATAACTTATATAATAAAAGATTCATTGTTTATTATTTTTGTGGGAAACTAAACAGTAATCATCATTCCATTTGAAAATTAATATATCAAGAGTTTTATAGCAAAATTAGAAAAAATAAAACATTCCTTTACCGGCATAGGTTATAGAACTCTTAACATGCATCTACAGCCTAGAGGAATTATTACTACAAAATTTATATACATCTGTAATCTTGGGAAGATTGTACATACATTGATTACTATAATTGTTTAAAACAAAAGGTAGTTTGCATAGCAAATGATTCCTGAAGTTGAATTAATCTGTTCTCTGGTATGCATATTAAAATACTCTCCTGGTGGGGTATTCATTATGAAAGAAAAATAATTTTATTTTGACTGAAAAATTGTTATATTCATTCTTGAAGCATTTAAAATTGATGTTTTTATTTACAGGAAATGCAAAATGATAGTTTAAAAGTCTAAAATAAAGTTATTTATAAAGTACTGATTAAGAAAATTGATCAGGGGTCGGGGATTTAGCTCAGTGGTGTCCCACCTGCCTCACAAGCGCAAGGTCTTGAGTTCAATCCCCAGTACCAAAAAAAAAGAAAATTGATCAGACATGGGAGTAAATAGTTCACATATTCAGGGACCAAACTTTTCCTGAAATATTATTTCAAAAATAAAATGTACTGAAAGAAAATGTCTCTGACTTAGCTATGAAGTGAAGATGTCAAAGCAATTTTGTATTCCAGATGTTTTGAGATTTCAGTCTTAAAACACTGTACTAATTAAAGGAAACATTCTAGATTTTAGAGTGTCCTTTGTATGTATTCACTTCTCCATTTTTTTACTAGATTAAATATATCTAATTCTTTTTTTAAAAATATATCTAATTCTTAATCTTCCTTCACACCTCTCACTCTGAGTCTTTGACCTTTGTCATGAGAGTACATTTTTTGCCCTCAGTTTTTTGATTAAGTGAGCAGTCAGACTTCCCTAAGTGATTGCCCTTCTTATTATACACAAATCAAAACCCATCACAGTTAATGTCAAAAGAAAATACAATGACATTCATCAAATTTTTGTATATAACTTGGGAACAGTTCTTTTTCTTATATAGTATTTGCAAATAATGAAATATATAAGACACATTTTGGACCTGCTATATAGATTGATATCTTAAAATACTGAAGACATAATGAGAAATATATATATGATATACTAGTTTCTTCTTTAAGCAGTCATAATATTTACATGGATGTCAGAACTTAAACTAAAATTTTGAGTTGTTAGAAAAGAGAAGATAGCAGAGTGGTTTTGCATACTCAGAATCACAACACCCACCATGGATCTGGATAGTTTAAGGCCATTAAGAGGCATCATTTGAAGATAATATGTTTTATCAGGTATATTCTAGCTAAGAGATATGTCTTTTTGAGCATTAGATTTCTGATAATTTCTGCTTCCATGCATCTAAGTGATTTAAAAGTTTCTCACCTCTCAGTTTTGATCTTGGTTCTGTAGCCTTGGTTCATTTCTCCTGTGGGTGATCTGAGTCATTGCTTTGATACACCAATATAAACTTTGGTTTTTATGCCCTGAGGAATTTTGGACTATATAACAGAGTTGTCACCTTTTATGTAATAGGTTCCCAAGACCATAATTCTAGACAAATTCCTACCAGGCTAGCAACGTTTATATGATGATCCATCATGTAACTATAAACAGTTTACACTCCACTTGATTTAGTCACTTTGAAATTAAGTAATTTTTTACATCTTTTAAATTGGTGGGATTTCGTTATTTCAAATTTGTTTGTAAAGTATTGTAGATGCTAAACTATATTTTAATCAATTAGAATAAAATATTGCACTTTAAAAATATTTAAAAATAATCATAGCTGTTACTCACTGGGTACTTCTATGAGCCACACAAGAAGTTTTAAGCACTTTAATATACTAACTCATTTATTTTTTTAACTCAGTCTTTACAACATTTTTTTAGTTAAGCTGCTGTAATTATCAGATTAACCTAATTCTTATTTTACAAACGAGGCACAGAAAGACTAACTTGCTCACAGTTAATAAAGTAGCTACATTTAAAAAAAAATTTTATTTTTAGGACAGTGTAAGATTTTTTGAAAAATTGCAAAGATAGTACATTGAGTTGGTATATACCCCATACCCAGTTTTTTAAAATATCTTACAATTAATATGGAGCATCAGTTACTATTCTGGAACCAAATTGATACACTGTTGTTTATTACTGTTAATTAGCTAAGGTCTATACTTTATTTGGATTTTCTTAGCTTCTTACCTAACGCTCCTTTTCTGTTCCAGGATATTGTTCAAGGGGCCATATTACATTAATTGATAATGTCTCCTTAGGTACCTCTCAGTTATGACGTGTTCTCAGATTTTCCTTGTTTTTGACGACGTTGGCAATTTTGAGGATATTGGTCAGTTGTTTTGTAGAATGGCCTAGTCACTTGTGATTTGTCTGTTTTTTTTTATGATTAGACTGAGATTATGGGTTTGGAGGGGGAATACCATAGAGGTACAGTATCATTTTCCTCACATTATACCAAGAGGACATACTATTAACCTGCTTTATCACTGTAGATATTGACCTTGATCACTTCAAAATAACTTGACTTTTGAACCAATTAAGTGGTAGAGAGTTCATGGTCTTAAATAAAACATTATTGCCTGTATACAGATTGCTGCTCATTTAACCATAGAGTTCACTTTGGATTAACAACTAGCTAATTATTGAATGTAACCAGTTTTACCTTCTTTCTCCAGTTAATTCTCTTTCAGCTGGCTTTTGAGAATGCCAAGCCTGGCTGATTACAGGCACAATCTCTCGACCCAGTCACAACTCTATCCCCAAACTTCTGCCTTACTGGTTGCTGTGTACTCTGTGTTTCAGTGCTAGATAGCCTGAATGCTGTATTTTTTGGTCAGTTGATTTACTACTGTTTGCCTCATCTTGAAGTCATTTGCATCCTCCTCTCCCCAAAAGAGCTATCTCTCTTTTTCTTTTTTTTTTTTTTTTTTTTTTTTTGTACCGGGGATTGAACTCAGGACTTTGGGCTTGCCAGGCAGGCATGGCACCACTGAGCTAAATCCCCAGCCCAGCTGTCTCTTTTTAGCTTGGCCTCCTTTTTGTTGTCTCTAGATCTCATTGTTTGATCCAGTCTAATTCTGGTTCCGTTTTAAATTTAAATCTTTCACATTTACACGTGAAAATAAAATTTGTTTCTAGCAGTGTCAAAGAAGTGCATCTATATTCTCGTACCTGGGAAAGATATACAGTATTACATTGTCCTCCCTCACACACATATATACACATAACATCATGAGCTTCCTTCAGAATCTGACATAAGTTATCTAAGCTCTCCCCAGAAAATACTGTGTATATTAATTACTTAGTACCTAGTTCAAGGAGTTTGTAAACCCTCTGAAGCCTGTGTGCTGTGTCAGTCAGGGTTCTTAGTTTTAAGGAACTGAAACTGACTGGATGATTTAAACATAGTAGAACTTACTGAAATCATACAAATTTTCAGAATTCCAAGGAAAAGCTGACAAATCACCTTAGGAAAAGGCTGTAAGTGTTGTAATTCCACAGTGGGCCCTTTTAACTCCAAAATTTTAAAGCAGAAGAACCTGTCTGTTCTACATGTTGCTCACATGTTATTTTATTTGTATTCCATTTGGAACTGGATAGTGAGGTTTTAAGTTTCAGAATCAGATATATTAGACGTGAAAACAGTGGCACATGTGTGGACACACACACAAACACATCAGTCACTTCAGGAAGTACATTAGTAGAGCATAGACTAAGATCATGTAACAGACATTCAAACACACAGTGGCTTAAGTAGATGGAAGTTCATTTCTCTGTCTCCTGACAGCTGGGCAAGTGGCCCAGGGCAGATAGGTAGTTCTGTCTCACAAGTTCATTCAGAGACCCATATTCCTTCTGTACTATTTTCTCCATCCTGTAGGGTGTTATCCTTTCTGCCTGGTCAAACCTTCCTCCTCTCCCCTCCACATTCCAGCTTGTGGGAAGGACCAACAAAAGAAAAGGGAGAATATTAATCCAGTGACACAGGTTGAATGTATCAGTGCTATTTGCATTTCATTGATGAAAACAGTCACATGGCCACAACTGGTTACATGGGAGGTTCTGAAACATGATCTCTACCTGGGAAGCCATGTGTCCAGCTAAAACTCATTATTGTAGGAGAAATAAAGATTGGATTCAAAGTTACAGTCAGCAAAGTACAAGATGTGAAGACAAATAAATAGAATTCCTATGTTCTCATTTGCAAAACAATACAGTTGGATAGAATGACCGAATAGGTTTCTTCTAATTATAAAAATTCTCTGTATAATTGTTTAATGCCTATAGTTTAGTGTCCATGAGTTGTATGGGTATACAGTAATTTTTTGAAGTAAATTCTTCTGTTAAAATTGTATGTGCAGGGCCAGGAATTTAGCTCAGTGGTTGCGCCGCTTGCCTTGCAAGCACAAGGACTCGAATTTGATCCCCAGTACCAAAAAAAAAAAAATTGTATGTGCAAAGTCAAAATATCTTTAAAAAGGCTGGGGATTTAGCTCAGTGGTTTCGCCGCCTGCTGCACAAGCGCAAGGACCTGAGTTCAGTCCCCGGTACTGAAAAAAAAAAGTAAATACATGAATTGCCAGAAAGCTGTGCAACTCTTCAATTTTATTGAATATCTCTGTTCCTTACTCCTTGTGCTCATTTTGTGAGCAATAGCTTTACTTTTCAATAGGATACAAATCCGAAGTCTACACTTCTTTTGATCCTTTGTTTAGAACAGTGGACGCAATTTCTATATTTAAAAATGTCAATGAATTACTACATTGAACTAATATGTTCATTTAACATGTGGTGGCAGTTGGAAGACTTGATAACCCTGTTGGGCTTTTTTTCACCTCTGCTCATACTCCAGGAACCCCAGAGGGGCCCTACTTTGAGAACTTTTTAAGAACCACACTAAACCCATGTAGAGGCAGTGCGTAAAAATATCCATTTCTTTTTCTGCCATACAGAAAGCAAGGCACAAGACAGCCACCTGTAGTCCCAGCTAGTTGGGAGGCCAAGGCAGGAGAATCACTTGAGCTCAAGACCAACGTGGGCATAAACAGCAAGATCCTGAAACCCTGTCTGGAGGGAGGGGGAGACTGGAGAAATGGGAAAATGATGCCGGTCATATAGTTACAAAAAATGGTTCTGTAAATCCCTCCTTTCAAAATTGGGTTTAAAGGGCCGAGGATTTAGCTCAGTGGTTCCATCGCCTGACTCACAAGCTCAAGGTCCCAAGTTAGATCCCTGGTACTAAAAAAAATGGGTTTAAAGATGTTTAAGATCAAAAGCAGGTCATGAAAACTGTTAATAGTTGCTCCACGCGGAAAAAAAAAAAAGTCCCTTTATATAAAGTGGTGCCAAGGATCTGACACAAAGAAACAAAGGCAGATGGATGATAAAATTTAGCCCTGTTTTATTTTACATTTCTGACCTCATAGATCTGTGCCTGTGGGTGTTAATAGCCCTTTCCTTAAACTTAAAAGAATCTTAAGAAATTAAGCAAGTTTGAGTGCTAACAAAGTCTGTGACTGCAGAATCTAAGAGCCAAGCCAGAAAGTCTCAAAGGCAAGATTTTTGTCACTGGAATGGGAAGAGGTGGATAAAGATTGATAGTTGCTAAAGGCCAGTGCAGCCAAGGTCTTGGCAGAACAGTCTCAAAAATAAGACAAATCGAAGTTTCTCAGTTTGAGACCAGTACCAGAAAGGCCCACCAAGGCAGCCAACGGCAAATATTGAGATAGGGTAACAATCTCAGTTAGTTGGGGTGAAAAGTAAGTGAAAACCCCTGAACCAACACCCAAGGTCAGTGTCTTTGCCATCCCATGTCCCAGGCATAACTCCATGCAGCAATTTCCAGGGTTTGGAGATTTGTTATTTTTGTGATATCTTCTCCTCAAAAGAAGATAGGATGGAAAGATGTGACCACTGGAGGGAAACCTCTTTCAGGGAGTGGGCTGGGTGAGAGTAAGGGACTTCCTGCAGCAACATATCTGCAATACTCTGCAAGATCTTGGAAGTGCTGAAGAGGGTTTTGCCTTTGGGACAGTAGTGGTCCATGTCCTGCAGGGCATCCACACAGAAGGGGATGAAGCCACAGCCCACTGTGTACCCCAGCAGGCACAGGCTTCCGCAGAAGAGCCAGGCGAGGGCACCAGCATCATAGGACAGCTGAGTCATGATCATCTTTTTGCAAGAAGGACAGAACATCTGGCCTTGGTGGTCAAAAAGGGAGATGAGCTGCTGTATAGAGATGGTCTACACAGCAGCTGCATTGGCACTGGGGCTGGGCACCGGCAGCGGGTCCAATGATGGAGGATGTATGCTCTTCCAAACCTGGCCTGTCATGAGCCCCGGGGCTGGCCAGGCACAGGGGTAAAGGCATCAGTAGTAACTCATAACAGCTGCTGTCCCTTTCTGGGAATGGGGTACACCTGGCATTGAGGAAGCCCCCCCGCCCCCGCCCCCAGTGCCTGGTCAGGTCCTGAAACTGCGTCATCTGTGGAGCTGGAAGTTATGCAGGCAGGCAAGGAAGGTGCTTATTTAGATGGTCATTTTGAAAAGAAAATATTTCTTAAATTCTGCTAGCTCATTTAAATATTTTATTCAAGCAAATCCTGTTAACATGCTTTGAAGTAAAGTATCCATTGTATAAATCGGTGTTTTGAACTATAGGTTCATCATACACTGATTTTTGTAACATATCCATGTTTTGACTGAAGTGTACACCAGTGGTCTTCAGCCTGCAGGACTTCTGGAAAATACAGTGAGACCTGGTCAATGAGTCGTAGGGAGTGAGGCCCTGAATGCAATGCTCCCAGATTATCCTGCTTAGCTTCAGGATCTGAACCAAAATCTGTGGAAATTCTTAACAAGAAAAGAAATGGTCTATTAATTGGGTGTGTACCAACATCACAAAAATAGCCTGTAGTAACTTAGTGATAGAATTATAAAGTTTTGTTCTTTCAAAATTTAACATTATTATTGTTTGGATGATGGCATTTGACTCAGAAACATTCAACTAACACATTTAGTCATTAATGACAATGTAACATGAAGTATAAGAGGTATGATACAAAATATAGAAACCTTAAGAAAAAAATACTTGGCCAGGTGTGGTGGTGCACACCTGTAATAGAACTCAGGAGGCTGAGGCAAGAGGATCGTTGCAAATTTGAGACCAACTTGGGCTACATAGCGAGACCCTGTCTCAAAACCGATAAAATTACTTGATTTATTTGCTTTGTTCTTGAAATAATTTATTTCTTAAGAAAATTAGATATTGTCATTTTATCTCAGATCATGAATGATTTTATAGTTTGTCAGTATCTTGACAGTATAAAGCTTAATTTTATTAGTGTTTTTAAATCTTCAAATTATTATTATCAAACCACCCTTGTTTTTCTCCCTAGATTTTAAAGTAGTTTTCAGTTCTTTTATATAAACAGCATATAATTCCATATTGCTTAATATAGTTTTATAGTAATGATCTTAAATGTGAAGTTGAGTATGTATTTTACTGGATTATGATGGTAATGTTCATAGTGTGCAACACATGTATTATCCTCCAAAAGCTTTGCTGGTTGATTGGTTGGTAGGTAGGTACTGTTGATCAAATGCAGGGCCTCACATGTGCTAAGCACTTGCTCAACTACTGAACTTCACCCTCGACCACCCAAGAGCATTTCCTAATGCCCATATTTGTGTGGGACTGAAAATGCATTGGACTGGGAGAATTTAGAAAGGAATGTTAGTCAAGGTGCTGCTAACTTTAGAAACAAATGTCAGTCCAAGACAAGTGTTCTTGTGAGCATCATCTGTGAATCTTCTTGCTTGAATGCCCTAACCTTTATTTGACCTCAAGTCCTCAGGCTTCTCTATTCAACCCATGGATACATGAAGTGTGGGAAAGCTAAACCTGAGGTCATCTGCTTTAGCTAAGGTGAACTATGTAAAGCAAGGATTCATTTTCATCATATGACCACACCTGTAACCCGAGCACTCTGGGAGGCTGAAGCAGGAGGATCAACAGTTCAAGCATAGCTTAGAGACTTAGCAAGACCCTGGCTCAACTTATATTTTTAGTATATGTGCTGCCAAAGCAAGCACAACTTATATTTTTAAAAGGTGATGGGGACTCTGGAGATGTAGCCCAGTGCAGGGGCCCTGAGTTCAATTCCCAGTAACACACACACACCTATTTGCTGGAAAGTCTGGGAAATGTAATCTAGCTATATTCCCAGGAGAAAAAGGGAAGAGGGTTTCTTTCGGTACACACACAGCAGTCTCTACTGCAGCCTTGTCTCTGCCATGAACAAACACCATAATGCTTGGGAAGACAATTTCCTTGGCTTCAGTTCTCTTTTATTTTAAAAAGTTAGAGCTCTAGTGACTATTTTTCTTTTTATGATAAGGTTGTTTTATTTTTAAAATTCTCAAGATACAGTGAAGCCACATTTAACAGTATTCATTAGAATCATAATATCCTTAACATCTGATGAGAAATGAGAACTAAGTTACAGCAGTTGGTGGCTTTTAGTTAATTGCATAACCAATAGATGCAGATTACTTGATTTAAATGATCCCGGAGAGGAGATGATGACGAACATGGACTCAGAACTTCATTTAAATCCTATTTCATCAGTAAATCAGATAAAAATATGGACTTTTCATATACCTCATTTTGTAATTGGAAATTTCAGATCATTTCTATTCCTTTAATATAACATACACATGGTACCTGGGCTTTTGAGGACTGGCCAGAGAATAAAAAGGATTATTTTTACAATGCTTTTATGACCATGTAATTTATAAATGAACTGTGGAACATAACCAGTTTTTTTTTAGTAAAAGATGAGTTGGTTTTATACCTCCAAAACACTTTGATTGCTTTTTTGCCTTCAAAGACAAGGATAATCACTTAAACCTTTTATTATAATGTTAAGAGGCACAGCTACGGGTATGAATGTAAGTTAGCTCTTTTTCAGCGCAGATGTTGGATTTACCAGGGACCTCCAAAATAGGTACATACTACAAAGAATATGTGTAGCTGTTAACTAAGCTAGGTGTCACATTCACTCACGGTGTTTGCAAGATACATTAAGACTTGGGTTATCATTGATTTTACAGAACAAAAGTACTATAATGAGGAATATACATTAATAGTGTAGGTAGTATTGATATCTTCTATCACCTTGGAAGGCTTTAAAAGAATTTAGTAAAAGGTCTTTTTAATGTAATAGTAATATTTCATAATGTGTGTTTTCTTTCATTTTAGGACATCCAATAGTAGTCAGACATTATCATCCTGTCATACTATGGAGCCATGTTCATCCGATGAATTTTTTCAAGCCCTTAATCATGCTGAACAAACATTTAAAAAAATGGAAAACTATTTGAGACACAAACAGTTATGTGATGTAATTTTAGTTGCTGGTGATCGGAGAATTCCAGCTCACAGGTAATTGTGTTCTAAATTTCTATATGTATGAAATTTTTCTGCATAATTTAATTGCTTAAGGCAATTAAAGTATTTTCATTAACTACTATGCTTTTGAGAAGGGGTATATCTGATGGGATTTCCATAAAGAAAACAGTGTATATGATGTTATTACACATTAAATGATTCTAAAAGGGCCATTTCCCCTTTTTAGAAGCACACCAAAAAAAATGATCTTTAAATAAGTAAATATTGTTTATTATAGACTTCAGTGACTATTAACAGCTTTCATGCCATAGTCTACAAATTCCTTAAATAAACTCAGTGGAAATTAGCATTTATCAGTAGTTAGAAGCAAAAAAAGGGCTGGTGGAATAGAGTTGCTGAAAGTCTTAATAATTTTTAGTTTTGTTTTTTTTTTTGGTGCTGCTGATTGAACTTGTCTCACGCATGCTAAGCCCGTGTCCCTCAACTGAGCTACATTGTTGAACCCTTAACAATTTTGTTATATTTTGCTTTGTTTTTGTGGTACTGGGGGTTGAACCCAGGGCCTTCACACTGAACTATGTCCCCAACCCATTTTTTTTTACATCTTTTATTTTGAGACGGGGTTTCACTAAGTCCCCAAATTGCCCAGTCTGGGCTCAAACTTGGAAACCTCCTGCCTCAGCTTCCCAGAGTGCTGTGATTACAGGCCTGTGCCACCACACCCATCTACTTAACAGTTTTTAAATAGTCTCATGTATCTGTTTACTGGTCTCTAAGAAGTGTAAAAAGCCTTTAAGAAAAATGATGTATTATTTGTTGAAGTAAGAAAAAGGAAAGAACTGTCTAGCGAGGAATAATACATTTTCTTCTGATGATTCTGTACTCATTCATTTATTCATTGTTAATCACCACTGTGATCCCAAAGGGTTTTTTATTCCCTTCAAAGCTAATTAATATTTTGTCCCAAAGGTTTTGTTAACACCCCTCCAGAGGGGAAAGAAATCATTGGAAAGACTGAGCTTGGTCTTAGAGTTGTCAATTAGCGTACATTTATTGAGATGCTACTATATACTTGTGACAGAATAGTCATATTATGTACATGAGTTTAATAGAAAAAATATTTAACCTGAATTTCACAGAGGCACTCGAAGTCTGTGGTTCAGTGGTGCCTTGGTTTACGAAATTAATTTATTTTACAATTTTGGGGAAGATGGCTGAGTTTGTGTTTGTGTGGGAAAGATGGCCTTGGTCATGTGGTCATGTGGAGTTTGCAAACAAAAGCAAAATTTTGCCAGATCCTTTTGTTTGCAAACCGAATTGTTTGGAAACAGAAGTGTTCATGAACTGAGGTATTGCTATATTTCCAAAACCGAGTGTAGTACTGTACCTTACCTGCCATGCTTGTGTGAGCCATTACTACCTTTCTTAGATCACACATTAAAGGAACCTCCTAACTGGTCTTCCTACTTCCACCCTTTCCCCTGCATTCTACTTTCAACACAACTACCTGAATGACCCTTTAAAATGAAACTTAGATCCAGCCACTCCTCTTATCAAACTTCTCAGTGACTGCTCACATGAAAGCCAGAGTAAGCTCAGTGATCTTCGTGACCAGCCTGCCATTACACCTTGAATGTTCTGTCCCACTGCTCTCCTTGCTCCCTGTGCATGAACGACACAGACCATAATAGCTCTTTACCTGCCAGGCTTGCTGCTTCTGCCTCTGGACTTGTGTGCTGGCTACTTCTGCCCAGATGCTGCGCCCAGATTCCTGTGTGATTAAACTCTTCACCTCCTTCAAGTTCAGCTCACATCACCGTCCAGTGACTCCACCTGTTATACTCACCATCCATTCCCATTTGTCTTTACCCAACCTTTTTTCCTTATTCCACTTACTTTTTTTTTTTTGTACTGGGGATTGAACTCAAATCCTTGCACCTGGACAGCAGATGGTGAAACCACTAAGCTAAATCCCCTGCCCCCCATTTACTATTTTTTGTGGGTTTTGGTTTTTTGTGGGTTTTTTTGGTACCGGGGATTGAACTCGGGACCTTGTGCTTGCGAGGCAGGTGCTGGAACCACGGAGCTAAATCCCCAGCCCCACTTACTATTTTTTTAATACACTATACCATTACTTTTTTTGGTTGTTTCTCTACCTTTCTTTTAAAATGTAAGACTCCATGGGGAAGGGTTTTCGTGTCTTGTGCACTGAGCTATCTTGAGCAATGCTCAGTACTTTTTAGGCACACATCTGTATTTGTTCATTGAATAAATTAATGGATAAGAAGTTCTCTGAAGAAGGAACCTGAGTGACCAATAAATATTTGAAAAAATCTTCAACAACACTAGCAGTCAGCTGAATGAAAACATTAATGGCATGTCATGGAACATTTTGCAGATGGCCCAAAATTTTAATATCTAACAGTATTATGGAGAAATGTTAGCTCTTATACAATGCTGGTGGGGGTCTAAAGTGGTACAGTGCTTTGGAAAACAATTTGGCAAACCTTATGACTCAGCAATGCTGCTTCTGAGGAGGTAGCAGAATGGAGTTAGAAAGGGACACAAAAGGAGCTTCATCGCTATTTGTATCAAAATTTTTACTTCTCTAAAAAATGAATACAGTAAATCTGTGTAAGTGTGCTGACATAGAAATATCTTCAAGACTATGATTAAGTGAAAAAAATGCATGCTTCAGAAACTATATATTTATAACTTTTTATTTATACACAATTGTCAGAAATCCTGCAGACAGCCAGTACATATAATGTATTGTGAAAAAATATTACAGCTGTGTAGCATTATAACATAAATATTATTTTACAATAAAATACATAATATATTGTGATAAAATATCAAAAATTTAAAATAACTTGATAAACCTTTTGCAAATATATCTCCTATATTTGTTACTTCTACAATTAAAATTTTAAAATAGCTTAGGTTATTTTCAAAAATGAAAAACAGAAAATGACCTTTACATTTTTCCTTTTATTAATGTGATCAATTTAATGCTGTGGGCTTGTACCTTGTTTTCTGAATGTTATAAACAGTATTTTGAGTACTGAACAGGTAAATCATTTACCTCAGCAGAAAATTTTCAGTAATGGTGATTTATTATTCAAAGGAAGGAAGTAGAGCATAAAGCAATTTGTCAAACTTAAACTGCATTTCCCAGTACCATGTACTTTCTATGGGTAATGAATTTTTAAAAAGAAGATGATAAAGCATTTATTAATGAACATCAACTTGAATGTAGTCATTGATTTTTTTCCCCCTCTTGTATTCTCAGATTGGTGCTCTCCTCTGTCTCAGATTATTTTGCTGCCATGTTTACTAATGATGTCAGAGAGGCAAGACAGGAAGAAATAAAAATGGAAGGTGTAGAGCCAAACTCGTTATGGTCCTTGATTCAGTATGCATATACAGGTAATGTAAGTCTGAACATTAAATTAAAACCTCTTAGATTTATGTTACATTATTAGATTTCAGATTTCTGCTTTTAATAAAGCATGCCATGGCTAACAATTAATCTGCTATTTTTATCACAACCCCTGGTGGTACCTTAAATAGGTTAAAAATGCCACACTTTTGAATGTGTATTTTGAATGGTATTTTTAAATATTAATATAATAATTAGATGAATTATTTTATATAGCCAAAATTTTGCATTTAAAATGGAGTTATGTATAGTAGATAAAAATTTCTAACTAGTGCGTCATTTTAAAATTCTGGAAATAAGTCATAAAGAGCTAACAAATTTTTGCATACTTAATTTTTTTATTCTTTTTGGAATGTCTTAAACTTTCTTGGTCTACAGTACATGTAATGAGCTCTTATTTAGAAATATTACTGTTTAACATCAGTTATTTTATAAAATAAGGTTCATGTAGTTCCCTAAGTTAATGGAATTTCTTTTTATCATTAAGGCCGCCTTGAATTAAAAGAAGATAATATTGAGTGCCTGTTATCCACAGCCTGCCTCCTTCAGCTTTCGCAGGTTGTGGAGGCATGCTGTAAGTTTTTAATGAAACAGCTTCACCCATCCAACTGTCTTGGAATCCGTTCTTTTGCTGATGCCCAAGGTTGTACAGATTTGCATAAAGTGGCTCACAATTATACTATGGTATGTATTTGAAAAACAGGAAGACATGTGCTCTTTGCTTGATTCCTTATTATCTACATGTTGCTGTTTTTGTATGGCTTGTCATAGGTCTTGATGTTAAGGCTCATGGTCTGGCATGAGTTAGGAGTGGAAAACACTAAGTGATATTTCTCCTGGATATATATGTCAAGCCTTGTTAGTATGGTCAGTAAGAAGCAGAGGAGCAGCCTGGGACTATTCCAGTCAAGATTTTCAGATCTGCTTTTTTTTTTTTGGTACCAGGGATTGATCTCAGGACCTTGCGAGGCAGGCGGCGGAACCACTGAGCTAAATCCCCAGCCCCTCAGATCTGCTTTTTAAAGCTGGATGTCCCCAAACATTTTACTTTGCAACACATGGATTAATTTCAGAATTATCTCAACTCACTGATGGAAATTGGTGATAGTGGTTATAGTGTATTGGTACAGTGTTAAGACAAATGATAAGAGCATGAATGGGAGACTTTTATTAAGGGTGAATCTGATTATATGCAAAAAGTGTTTACAGCCATGTAGAACAATGTTGTTATTAATTGTACCAAACCATGTGCTCAAAATAAATCATAGAGGAGGTTCTGATTCAGTAGCCTGAAAGATAATAGAATATAGATTGATTTAGTATAGCAAGAAAATAAGGATATGTTGAAAGCATATTATTAGGACTTTGTGGTCTTAACAGTAGAGAGACGTGGAAAAGGAAGGGCTTGTAGATTTTTAAGAAATGAACATCTTGCCACACTACAGTAGGGTAATGATTGAAGACTGATGATTTAAATGCTTCAGGGAAGGCAGTACAGCTTCTAAGAGAAAGAAGAATGTGAACATTCATATGCATGTATGCAGTTATCTATATTACTAATTTTACCAAAATTTAAAGAATGTTATTTTTGCCTGCTTGGTTCTTCTGTTCCAGTTCTTCGGTTCCACCCTCTGTGGTTCCATTCAGTTGGTTTGTCCAAGAAGAGACTGACACTGCTTTAGGAATTTTTTTTTTTTTTTTGAGATAGGGCCTGGCTAAGTAGTTTAGGCTGACCTGGAACTCACAGTGATCCTCCTGCATTGGCCTCCCAAGTGTCAGAATTACAGGCATGAGCTACTACACCCAGCAGAAGAATATTTGATGAAAGAAATAGAAATTTGGCTGGGTGTGATGGTGCATTCCTGTTATCCTAGTACCCAGAAGGCTAAGGCAGAAGGATCACTACAGGTTTGAAGCCAGCTTGGGCTACATAGTGAGTTCAAGGCCAGCCTGGACTATATAGAAAGACTTTGTCTCAGTGAGGGGTTTAGGGTGGATGAGAGGGAAGGGGGAGATTTAGAAAAGTTTTAAGAGTAGGTAGATATTTATAAACTATTGGGAAGATTCATTCTGTTTACTTCTAAACTTGATGTGAAGACTAAATATTGACAGAGGTTAACATCAAAACAGTGACTGGCTATGATATACCCACTCACTAGATGATATCATCCTCATATGCTTGTAACCATCATTATATAGATTTACTACATTCAACACAGTAGTGTTTTATGTAAAGTAACAAGCATTCATAGAAAACCACACCTTTATGGTTTATCTTCTCTCCTGGGGGGATCACTTCACAGAGCTTCAAGTGAAAAAATAAGAGACTGTGCAAGAGGATGATAATATACTTAGGCTAATATTTTTAAAATATTCTTTGGAACCCCCCTCCCGTCTTTATCCTTCTTTATAGAGTTCTCATTTTTACCTTAGACCTGCAGTTTCAAGTATCTTGGAATAAGATGAATATAAATACATAAAATAGAGCTGGATTTTTTCTTTCTAGTAAGTTTATAAATTAAATAATAATTCTTTCCTAGGTAGGAGTTTTATTCATGTGAAAACATTTGTATCCATTTAGGTCACTCCTGTTGTTTAGAGTAGAGGCGTGACTGCTGCTTTAAGGCTTAGACGTAAATTAAATTTAAATTAGCTGAATGTTTTTAAAGCTATTTTCATAGCCAGTTAGTTGTGGTAGATTTTTCTCCTCAAGGTCATTATTTAACATTATTTAGTTTCAATAGAGACATGAAATGGAATTCTAATAACAATAAGTAATTTAGAGGCAAATTGTCAAATTTGAATTGTTGCTATGGAAACTGAATAAAAATGTATAACAAAATTCAATCTTCAATTTAAATAAATCCCTCAGTAATTTCATTTGCTAAAACTATTTCAAAGGGGGAAAGGACACAAAGCTAACAAGTGTTTGGTAGTGTGATATTGTATCATAAAATGGATTTAAAATATGGAGTAAGAATTATACTCTGTCACTGAATTCAGTCAGTAAATGATACTTGTACTGAGTATATCACTGATATGGCACAGATAGGAGGAGGAAAGGATGAGGATCCTAAAATCCTTCTTAGGATCCTAAAATCTGGAAATTTGGGATCTAGTTCTCACTACAACTGAACATGACCTGGAGCAAGTCATTTAACCTCTAAAGAATAGTATAAGACTAGTTCTTTCATTACACTTACATAATATCATTATGGATTTATGACATGACTATAAACAATTAAAATTCAAAAATTTCATTTCTCAGTCTAGAAAACATAACATTGAATTCTGCTAAAATAACTGCTTTAAAACCATATTAATACTGTATTTTCAAAAATACTTTGTATATAGAGTTCAGTAATATTTTTTAATTTGTGGAAAAACTCAGTTTTCACTTAATATAAATTATACTAGAATGGAATGAGCATTGTTATGAAATAGATACCTCAGCAGTTCATCAAGTGAATCTTTACAATAATAATCTTTGTTACTGATGAAATACAGTTAATACCATTTGAAAGTGTAGCAATAGTTACACTAGTATTGTATGTTGATTATACTATATGCCATAGCTTTACACAACTAGAAATATATATTTTAACTTCTTCAGAATCTTACCTAACATTCTGTAATAAATATTTTATATAGCTATGTTATCCTTGTCCTTAACTTTATATTGCCTGTTTAATAATCCATTGAGTTATAGCCTTCTTTGGTTAGATATTTAGGCTATTTCTCATATTTTACTATTATGAATAATAATACAAAAAAGCATTATTAGATATTCAGCTTTGCTTTCTAGTTATGAAGTATTTATTAAAGATTAAACCACAGTGGAATAACTAGGTTGAGAGTTTTAACGTTTTTATAGCTCATGCTATATACTATCAAATTATTTTTAATGCCAGTATACAATTAAGAACAATTTGCTTGAAGCCATTCCAGCATTGAAATTGTATTAAAGTACATTTCTGAAAATAAAAATCAATCATTTAAAATAGATTTCATTTGTGTATCCTTTAACAAATCATCATAAATTGGAGCAATTGAATTTAATTATTCATGAATGGTTTTCCCTTTTAACAGTTTCTGCTGAAATGAATGTCAATCCAGTAGATAAGTTAAATCAGCACCTCACTGGAGTTACCACAGGCTAAACAGAAAATGTGATTCTCATTTTAATTCAGAAGATAGTTATTGTGATAAACCTTATCTCTAGCTCTAATTTAAACAGTCTTAGCTATTTTACTAAAATTCTACATGCTGAACAGGAATAGTACATTAGGACGTTTAAGGAACTGTATATCTAGCATGTGCATTTATATTTAACAGTGTAAACTGACTATGCATCAAGACTTGTAACCTTCAAATCAGAGGAAAAGATTTCCTTCTTTCCAGATTATTTAGCATGATAACGTATAATGGTCACCTCATACCTAAGGGCATTCCTAAACTCCCATTTCAAATTATAGAAGACTTGCTTCTAGTATGCAGACAGGACTGAGTCATCCTCAGCCTAAGGTCCTGGTCCCAGTACATTGTAGATTAACACTTTTGCTAATTTTTTTTTTCTGTTAAACCAGAATAACTTTGTACATAAATCAGATAGAAGATATTTAAATTTTCAAAACAGAACTAAAATTCTGGGTGGTCTTATAAATAACATTAAAACAATTTTAAAGGACAAATTATTTTTTAGAACAACATTGAGGACAAATTATCTTTTCAGGCAAGGTATGAGAAAACCTTGTGGTCTAGAATAGTCTTTCTGGATAAGAGAAATGACTTGAAATTCACTGAGGTTATTTGGCTTCACTGTTGTCTAAAATTCTTCAGCAACCTCAAATCCAAATTAACTTCTGTTAGAATACTATGCCTCTCAGTATCTAATTCATTTTTTCTTATCTTCTTTCTAAAAACTTGCTAGAATTGTTCTCTGACTTGGACAAAACAATAACTTAAATGTCACAGGTCCATTTTAAAAATGTAGTAAGTAGGGCCAGGGATTTAGCTCAGTGGCACCATACCTGCCTCTCAAGGGTAAGGTCCTGAGTTCAATCCCTGGTACCACAAAAAAAGAAAAAATAGTAAGTAATGTAACACTTTGATTTTACTTAGGTAAGTTTAGTGACATAGTTATAGTTAAAATGCTTCTTTCTGCTGTTTCTTTTCTCCTAAGTGGTAATACATTGTAAGGTTAAAGTATAAATTTTGTTTGAGTATCCAGTACAAAAAAAGTAGCTTCTTTTAAGTAAACTGTGATGACTAAAAGGAACAATACTGTTTATTGTCATTTTCCCCCCTCTAGGAACATTTCATGGAAGTAATCAGAAACCAGGAATTTGTATTATTACCAGCCAGTGAAATTGCAAAGCTCCTGGCCAGTGATGACATGAACATTCCTAATGAGGAGACAATATTGAATGCACTTCTCACTTGGGTCCGTCACGATTTAGAGCAGAGACGGAAAGATCTCAGTAAACTTTTAGCTTATATTAGGCTACCTCTTCTTGCACCACAGGTAAGAAATAGTTACTTATTTGTAGGGATTTTTCCTTTGCTTATTATGTCAAAGTATTTTTTACACGTATTTGTATAAAATATATAGGTGAAAAGATACAAGCTAACCAAATTCTGCCTGTATTTTCATTCCAGAGTGTCTGGCTACCTAAACTGCATTGGTTAAGTTACATTTTATAATTTGAATTAGTAATTTTATTTTACTTGACTCCACTACAAACCTATCCTTCCAATTAGAAGAAATTAGTAATAAAAGGAACACTGGTTTCTGAGAACAAGCGTATTTAGATAAATTCATTTACCACACACTAAATACCCACTACCTACTGGATTTTGGTGACATATAAATTAATAAGATATTATAATAATTCCAGTTCTGACATTTTAAAACTGTGTGACTTGGCATATTCACATGCTTCAGTTTGTTCATTTGTCAAGTAGATTCTTTCTGTCTCACAGGGTCATTATGAGAGTCAGAAATGTGCTCTATGAAGTGAAATGTGCTATAAATAATACTATTATTTAAGAACTAGGAGATATCTAGTTAATGTATTCGAGGCAGTCAGTAATAACATTTATATGCATAGTTTCCCCTTTTTACAATTTTCATTGGAATATACAAAAATTTACCCTGCATTCTTTGCTATCTATTAGAAGACCTTGAATAAAAAGGCCTCAAAAGCACAGAAAGAATCATTTATCACTAGTCTTTTTTTTAAGTGCCATAAATATTGCTTTATATTAATCTTGAGGACAGTGTGTTATTTCCTGGTATTGTGAGCAAAAGTTACAGTTTGAAGTCTGTTTTACAGAAACAAAAAAACTCAATACTGATGTATTATAAGAAAAAACTCCACCTTTAGAGGTAGAATATTGTATGAATACACAAGATTGAAACTGAACTGATGGCAATTCAGGAAAAAAAAACCTAATAAAATATTTCTTTTGAAATCAGATTTAAGGAAAAGGGTTATGGTTTTACTGTTACATAGCAGAATTTTCTTCTTACTCTTTTCTAGATGAAAGGAAAATAAAATGCGAAAAGTCCTATTAAATGTTCAGAAGAATCTGTGCAATTAAGTAACCTGATAATTTACTTCAGTTCTGCAGTTTCAAGTATTTATGATACTATATTTGCCTCTCAGAGACCTTTAAAATTCCTGTTATCCAGAATACTGCTGATAATCATATCTTTTCGTTCTTGGAATTGAAAGGGACTTTGAAGATCATTTAGTCCAGCACCTTTGGTACAAAGGAAGTAATAGACAAAAAAAGTAAAACTATGTTCAAAGTCACAATGTGAATGCATAAATTCCTGTCCTGTGCTGTTTTTCTTTGCTACTTGACAAATTCATAGAAGTAAAGAGAAGTAAAAACGGGACTAGATCACAAGTATAGTTCTGTGCCTTTTCCTCTAAACCATTCTGCCTCTTGAAAAATACTATGTATAAATTGCTGGACTTGGGGAGGGATCTCAGGTGAAGGAGAAGATAGATTAAAAACTAAATGTGATTATAATATGAAGGCCATGGTAGATAGATGAATATGACATGAAAATAATAGGAGCACCCCCCTAAAAAAAACCTGATGATCAAGGAGGGAGAACTTTCAAAAGTGCCACCTGAGCTGCCGTGATTTAACCACCCAAAAGAAGGGACAGATACTCAGGAGAGACAGGAAATTGTACCTTCTTATAGAGTGATGAGCCATGAGTAAATATATCATGTTCTGGAATTTGAAGATAATTTGCTTGGCTAGAGTATAGAAATAAAAGAGAGTGATGTCCAGAGATGAACTTGAAGAAGGAAATGAACGAAATCATGAAGTAATTCTAGTCATGCCAAGGAGTTTGGATTTCTACTAAAAGCAATAAGGAAGCACTGAAGGATTTTATAACAGCAGAAGGATGTAATTATAATTTTATTTTGGAAAAATAACTAACTACATTGCAGAGAATGAATCAAAAGGATCAAAACTAGACCCATTAGAAAGGCTGTTGGAGTTCAGCCAAGTAAAGTAGGCCCTCTCTGGTGGAGCCAGAGAGAAATTAACAAATTCAAGAGCTGTCTAGGTCAAATGGGCACAACTTCATGGCCAGCTGAATGGAAGGGGGTACAAATTCTAAGAGGGGCCCAGAATGATTTTCATTTGTACAGCTAGATTAGTGAAGGTGTTGTCATCTGAGACAAAGGAACATAGGATAAAGAGCTGATTTAGAGAATGGAAAAGAAATGGGGAAATTGTGTTCCCAAAAGTTCTTGGCACCTTTAATCTTCTTAAAGTCTAAGAGGTTGTTGAAACCAAAGGCAAGAGAGTGACACTGAACAGTGAGAATCCAAGAGTGCTAAGGGTGAATTCCTAGGGTACGTTAATGTTTAGGGGCTGTTCCCACACAAAGCAAGTTCAAGAAGGTTCCAAGAAGATTGCAAGTTCAAGAAAGAATAAGTATTAACATCATCAGATGCTATAGAAAAATAGGATAAGGAGGGAAAATTCCCTCCATCAGCCCAGTAGTTCTCAAAGTGTAGCATCAAGAGACCATATATTATTTTGTTTATATAAAATGTTCAGAAAAGGCAAATCTATGGAGAAAGATTAATGAAGATTAATAGTAAATGACCATATGAGAGCTAATTGAGGTGATGAGAATGTTCCAAACTGTTTTGTAATGGCTTTACAACTTGAAAATTTTGCTTAAAAATCATTGAAATGATTACTTGAAGTGAATATTACTTGAAATGAATATACCTAATAATGTTATAAAGAAATACATTGTCAAATACAACTCAGCAGTGTATCAAAAAGATAACACACTATGACCAGGAAAGTCTTTTCTAGGAAGAGAAGAATGATTATCAGGGAATCTTACAAAGTAATCATTACATCAATAACTTAAAAAGGAAAAAGCTATGTGGCCATATCAGTAGACCTATAGAAGAATCATCCTCATCGCTTTTCGGCCTTTTGGCTAAGATCAAGTGTATAAAAGAATCATCTTTTGGAAAAAATTCAGCAACTATTCTTAATTTAAAATTCTAAAGTAAGGGACACAGACTGCAGACACCACAATTTCAGCCTCCATAAGACTTATTTTAAACTTTTGATCTTCAGAATTTCAAGATAATAAATGTGTGCTTTGAGCCACTAAAAAAAAATCATAATAAAATAAAATTCTAAAGTAGAGAAAGAGAGAGATAGCCAAAATAGATGAGTTACCCAATACTACCACAACTGTTAAAACTATTATCCTAAGTAGTGAAACAATAATACCATATATCAACTCAAACCAGAAGCAGGGAACTCCTTGTAACCCTACTTATTTAACGTTGAAAGCAGTGTTTTGGCAATGTAATAAAAACAAAACAATTGATGTAGTCAAACTGTCCCTATTTGCTGATAGTTATGACTGTATTCTAACTACTAAAGTTAATTAGTCATGGTAATACAGTGGGCTAAAATAAAAATATAAGATAATCAGAAGATTTTCTCTCTTCCAGCAAGAAATGTACAAAATGAGAATTTAAAAATCTATTCTCAATAATAATAAAAATAGGCCAGGGATTTAGCTCAGTGGTTCCGGCACCTGCCTTGCAAGTTCAAGGTCCAGAGTTCAATCCCCGGTACCAAAAAATAATAATAATAATAATAATAATGAAAATAGTGAAATATGTAGGAATATATTTAATAAAGCCATCCAAGTAGAAAGCCTTCTTTTTTTTATTTTTTTGAGACAGGATCTTGCTATGTAATTCAGGGTGGCCTTGAACTCACAGTAGTCCTCCTGCCTCAGCCTCTTGAGTGCTGGGATTACAAGTGTGTGCTACCACATGCGGCTTAGAAAGCCTTAACAAAAGGATTCTCATAAAATCTAAATTCTCCCAAAAGTAATAAAGAAATTTAGGTGGTTTATATTAGAATACCAAGAGAATCAGTATAATGAAAGAGAATTGGATAAATGTGTCTTAAATTTATATGGAAGATAAAGGCTCAAAAATAGCCCAGAAAACAATGAGAATTAACAGTGACAGGAGACTTATCACATACCAGAACATGCTATAAAGACACATAAAATGTAGTGTTAGAATAGAAATAGATAAATAGAATACAAGAATCAAAAAATAGACCTTATATATCTTCAAGTGTATTTATGAGAATGTAATATGTGGCCAAGGTTTAGTTCATTGGGAAATGGGAAAGATTGTTTAATAAATGATGTTGCTACAGAACTGGCTATTTATCTAGAGAAGAACAAAATGCTTCTATTTAAAGCACTGTTTAAAATACTCTTTAAAAATTAATTTCAAAAAATCCTCAATTTCAAATAGATCAATAACCTGAATGAAAGAAATAAAGCAATAAAATCATGCCAGATAATCCAGGAGACTGCACCCAAACACAGGACCAAAAAGACTCTAACCAGAACTGGAAATTCAGAAGCCACCGAAAGAAAGACACATACTTACTGACCTAAAAATGAAAATTGTTTGCAAATAAAAGTATTTTGAAGTAGAGGGCCAGGGATTTAGCTCAGTGGTTTCTCCGCCTGCTGCACAAGCGCAAGGACCCGAATTCGATCCCCAGTACCAAAAAAAAAAAAAAAGTATTTTGAAGTAATTTCAATAGTCAAATGAAAAACCTAGGAAATTTACAGTTAAAAATTAAAAGATTAGTATGTGTGTATTATAAAGAACTCTTAAAATTTTTCAAAGATAAGCAGCTTAATAGAAAAAAAAGAGGGAAACAAAGGGGGATAAAAAATTATGAATGGCATGGGCCAGGGATTTAGCTCAGTGGTTTTGCCGCCTGCTGTGTAAGCGCAAGGACCGGAGTTCGATCCCCAGTACCAAAAAAAAAAATTATGAATGGCAAAAATACAAGAAAAATTCATATGGCCACACATTAGAAAACTTCAGACTAAGGGGAAATGTGGTATAATTGACAAAAATAAAAATAATTAATATACTTATTCTTGGTAGCAGTGTTGTATTCTTAACATACCTATATAAAGGTGAATTGTCATACAGCCCGTCTACAAAGCATTCTGAAGTTTTTATATCTTTTTATTTATATACACTCTTCGATCTACCTGGGGACAGTTCAGTTCCAAGAAATCTGTCCCATAAAAGTAAAAATGTTACATAAAGACTTCTTTAGAAGACTTGGTTTTATTATCAAACAACGAAACGACTGTGTATACATATATGTAATTGTGTGTGTGTGTGTATGAGTATGTACCTACAGACTGGAAAATATCTAATGTCCATAATAAGAAAATGGCAAAAAAACTAGTGTACATCTATATATCATGAAATATTATTGAGTTATGAAAAAGAATAAATCAAAACTATACCTTTTCAGGAAGACTTGGAGAGATTTTCATGAGATTTTTGTTAAATAAAAATGGTAAGATGAAGCAAAACATACAATAAAGCAAATAGTAAAAGAAGAAACTGTAATCATATGCATTTATATAAAATTCAGTAGTAGTGAAACATAGAGATTGTAATATTTCTTAGAATAATCATCATATGGAATTCTTTGCCCCTTGAGAAATTGGTAAGTTTTTTTGATGGTAATGTTTTAGAGAAGTCAGGTGAGTGCAGTCTGGTTAGTCAACTCCCATTTATTTAATTGAAATTATGTGTAATTATAAAAAAGTGATTTAGAAAATCTGAATTAAAGAAAAGTAATAAAAAGATTATTTTGAAAGTATCATTATTCCTACTACTCAGTGTAAGCACTATTAAGATCTTAGAGAGTGCCATGAGTATTCTTCAGTTTTTTCATTGACACTTAAAATGTAAATCTTGTAAGTTGTATATTTTTAAATATGTTCAGACTTGAATTTTTTTTAAATATGAGGAATTTTCATTTGAAAACTTCATCACTCTATTTTCTTGGCCACTCACTATACATATTCCTTTCACTGTTCTTTTCTAGTTCCTGGCAGATATGGAAAATAATACACTTTTTCGGGATGACATAGAATGTCAGAAACTCATTATGGAAGCAATGAAGTATCATTTATTACCAGAGAGACGACCCATGTTACAAAGTCCTCGGACAAAACCTAGAAAGTCAACTGTTGGTACATTATTTGCAGTTGGAGGAATGGATTCAACAAAAGGTATTGAATAATCTTCTATTTGGAAAAACATAGAAAAAAAGGAATTTTAATAAGTAATATATACTACCAGAGAACTCTTCAGAGAATTGGCTTGTTGTAGTACAAGGGCAAAAAAAGTACAAGATGAACTCAGAATAGGAGGTGCTCAAGGAATCCTGAAGACAGGTCCAAAGACACAGAAGACAGCTTGTAGGAGCCACTGCCTACCTCGGGGGTGGTTTGGGCATTAAGATAAATAATGATAGAAAAAGATTATAATTTATCAGTAAATTTCTATGAATTCACACTAATACAAATAAGAAAAGGAGAAGGGAAAGCTCTTCCATACAGTAAAGTGCCATTACTAAAGGTAGAAAGGTGCAAATAGAAAAATTTAACATTTGGCAACCATCACAATGCAGGATGAAGAGCCCTAACCTGAAAATCTGAAATCCAGAATGCTCCCAAATTAAAAAGGTTTGGAGCAGACAAAGCTTAAAACGTTTCAGATGTTGGAGCATTTCAGAAATTCAGTTTTTGAATTAAAGATCCTTAACCAGTGAAGTCTCTGCAAATACTCCAAATCTTAAAAACTTCAAAATCTGAAACACTTCTGACCCCAAGCATTCCAAATGAAGGTCACTTAGCCTGTAATGCTTGATTCAGTCAAGAATCACCAATCCAGCCTGAGACTAGTAGGTGAAAGTTTGTGAACAGGATATTTACTCTCAAAGTGTCTCCCACCCCGTGCTTATTAGTTACAAAGAGTAAAATAGTATCTTTACAATGGAGAGCAGTGGCACACATCTATTTAACCTAATGATCAGAGGTAATGTTGCCAGTAATAAGACCTAGCAGCAGCATGTGCCTCTGATAAGATGCAGTGTGAAGAACTCAACAGCACTTCTGTGGTATTCATGCCAAAAGTGCATAACCTGAACTTAATCATGAGGAAAAAGAGAAGTCTAAGTTAAGAAACATTCTGCAAAATAACTTGTCTGTCTGTAGCACTAAAGAATGTCAGTGTCGTGAAGTACAAAACTAAAGGAAAAAATTCAGACACCTTTCTAGGTCACAGGAGAATAAAGAAACATGTCAACTATTCTAATGCATCATCTTGGAATTTCTTTTGCCATAAAGGTCATAATTGAGACAAATGATAAAATCCAAATCAAGGCTGTAGATTAGATAATAGCATTATAAGATGTTAATTTCTAGATTTTGATGATTATAGGATGGTTTTACTAGAGAATTTCTCCTTCTGAGGAAGACAGACTGAAATCTGTATTTAGGGGTATAGGGACCATGTTGTATATCTTTAAAGAATATAAAACTGTGAGCTCTAGGACAGGGGATTTAGCTCAGTGGCACCATGCCTGCTTCACAAGCACAAGATCCCTGAGTTCGATCCCCAGTACTGAAAAAAAAAAAAAAATCTGTGAGCTCTAATTGAAAGTATTATATTATTATTTAACTTTTATGTTCATGGAAACAAAGACTATAACATCTGTCTGAAGATTTGATTTTATTCTCATCTTTCCAACTTACATAAAATGTTCATTTTACATTCAACTTTCACCACAAGCTTGCTGGGTCCAGATCTCTGACCCTCTAACCATGTCTGACTTGAAAACTTAGAAAAACAATGCTGTATGTGTGTGCGTGTGTGTGTGTATGTGTGTGTGAATTCATTCGTGTTTTATCTTAACATATAACATAGTTCTATCTATTTATAGTTGCTTAAATTCTAAATATAAGCTTGATGATTGGAAGGTACAGAAATAATAAAGTAAGTTGATTAGAGTTAGTGTATAGATATTTTAACTTTTTGAGAGATTTCCATGGTCTAGATAATTGGCAAATACTTATTCTGTGTTTACTATGTGCCAGGAAATGATGCCAGACCTTGCAGTCATTACTAGCCCCTCTTCTTCGCTTTTATCTTTCCCACTCTTTTTTTTCAAGGCTTTCTGTTATCTCTGTATTGATCTGTATGTTATACTCACACTTTGAGTCTGCACAGTCTTCACCTTACCTCAAACTTGGTGTATCCAAATCTTCTCTGACTGTGTCACCCAAATTTGAGAATTTGGACTCATAATTCATTTTTCTTTAATGTACATCAACTCTAGCTCATCTAAGCAGATAAGAAATTAAAAAGCCAGGTGTGCTGGCACACGCCTGAAACCCCAGCACTCAAGAGGCTGAAGCAGGAGGATCGCCATGAGTTTGAGGCCAGTCTGAACTACATAGCAAGACCTTGTCTCAAAAAAAAAAAAATTGGAAGGCTGTTGAGAAAAGGGCAGGGACTATATCCACTGCCCTTCTTCATAACGCCTACTTTAGCATTTGAATCATAGATGCAAGCATTAGGTCAATTCCAGGATTAAGGAGAACAAATATCTGTCCTTTCAGCCTTCTAGGAGATGGGTTTCTGCCTACTGTCAAGATTCCTATATACAGTGGCAAATTCCCCAAGCACAAGAAGGAACTCAGACACTAAATAGCCGAAGGAAATTTTTCATTCTCTCTTTTCAGATCTCAAATTATGACATTTTCAAGTCATCCTTCAAATGGGTCTTGTACCTGATTCTTTAAATTTCCACTGGCAGTTTTCTAATTCCAGTTAGCATCCTATCCCCATACCTATCTTGATCATGTTAACTTAGGGTAAGTAGCATCCATTGTGTTGTTAATATGTGCCAAGCATAATGGAATATCCAAGAGCTGAATGTTATTCTTGCCTTCTTTTATAATTGAGGTCTACCAAAATTTAAGAAGTTAAGTAACTTTCCAGGATCACACAATTTATTAGTGATGGGATCAAGATTCAAACAGGCATTTTAACGCTGGATAACATACTAACTGCTCCATCAACTCTTGAGTTACCTTGCCACTACTCCTCAAAAACTCCAGCAACCTTTATTTCTTAATATGTAAGGTATAAATTCTTCATTCTGGCTTTCAAGACATTCTGTAATCTGGCCCTTGCTCCTTGACCAACTTTATGCCTAAGTCTTTCTTAATGTTCAAATACTCTGACCTTCTATACTATTCAGGCTATCTTCCCTTGGTCTTACTTCATCTTACTTTATCTTATTTATCTTACTCCTCCCAGTATCTTTATAATGAACAGTTTGCATTAGTTGGATGGTAGTCAGCTCATTCACTCTTGGTCTCCTAGTGTAGGGTCCAACAGATAAGTTGATAATGGTTCTAAATAGCCACTAAGAAAGTATATTAGAAAACATTTGTACATGCTTTTTAACAATTAATCCTTCCATATAAATTAGAGACATTCTGTGCTTTATACAGAACTTTACAATTACTAGGTTTTTGTTCTTTTGGGCTGTTTGAGGTTTTTAATGATACAAAATTGTGGCTCTGCTTTAATATTTAATGTTTTACATATTAATGTTTGAAATTAGCAACAGTTTTAGTTTCCAGTTCATAACACTATGATGCTAATGAACTGGATATAAAAGAAACAGTTTAAGCCAGGGATTTAGCTCAGTGGTTCCGCCGCCTGCCTAGCAAGTGGAAGGACCTGAGTTCAATCCCTGGTACCAAAAAAAAAAAAAAAAGAAACAATTTAAAATTCAAAAGAAAAAATATTTCTTAAACTCATTAGTGAGGAGAGATGATTAGCTTTTTGTTTGATGGAGGTTTTTATTGACTTGATTAATTTGATAGATTTTAAGACCATATTTGGAGTAATGAATTTATTATATTCTTATATCCAGTAATCTAAGTTTATGAATAAAATTTCATTATAGCTAAAGTATTATAAAGAGACATTATTCAAATTTTAAAACATTTCAATACTTCCTTTGTAGAAGGGGTTCTGTGTGGTGTTGTGAAGAATATACAGGTGGACACAGTTAATTGGGTATGGATCCCAAGTAACATAGGATTTAGAAGGGTAAATAAAAATAATGAATTATAACATATATTTATAGGTAGAAGAAAACTATTTCTAAATTTTAGGAGATTGGCAATACTACTGGTACTCTGATTACCTAATGTAACAAATACTTTAGAATGAATGTTCATTGTGATCATAATTCTGTAAAGCTAGCACTGGTTACATGTTATATTAGAAGCTTAGGAGAGAGAAGAGGATCCTAATTGAATCCTTTGTAATTAGGCGCTGGGTTTTTTAAGATGGTACTTTTTTTAAAACCCCCACTAGTCTCACTTCATAAAGAGAATTTTAAAAGTTCTGATTAAGATATAATATGTATATGTACCAATTCCTCAAGGATTAAATTAAATATATATATATAACCATTTCCTGTTAGAAAAGTAAACATTGGACCCCCTCCCCCCAAAAATTCAGGAATCATCCAGTTTTTTTTAATGCAGGTGCTATCAACCAGAAACTCCCTAAACTTCCTTCACTCATAGTTCCCAGAGGACATGACCTTTTGTCCTTCTTCCTTGCCATCAGTGATGGTTCACCTCTTCTGAAAGTCACCCTCTCTGCCACTACTTTAAATACTGTCCTTTCCTGCCTCCTCAGTATCCTCACACTGCTAATTGTGTTTTCCTTTCATCTATATTTTCAGCTTCATTCTTCTCAACTAGATTAAGCCAGCTCAGGCTTTTCAGTTTTAAAAACAAAACAAAACCCCCTCAACCCACCTGACTCTTCTCCAGTGTAGCAAAACTTCTCAGAAGAATCCTCTGTGCTCAGCATCTCCATTTTCTCACCTCCCAAGTATGTATGTATCAGCCACTCAAATAAGGAGCTCTTCCTAAAGTCATCAGTGACTTTGTCTTAGTTACTTTTCTTATTGCTGACACAAAATACCCAACACCCAAAGTTAAAGGAAGGTTTATTTTGGTTCATAGTTTATAGAAGTTTCAGTGCACAGTTGGCTGGCTCCAAGGCAAGGAGGCATGGTATAGGGGCAGCACAGAGGAGAAATAGTCCATGGTGGGCAGAAGACAGTAAAGCAGCAAGTGACAGCAGCAGCCCTTTTTTGTCCCTTATAGTCTATCTTGGCTACATGCCCTTAGGGCAGGTAGCACTCACACTCACAGTGGGCCTTCCTATTATCCAAACCAATGCCAAACCAATCAGTGGGCTAATTTAATAATCACACACCCTTGATCCCAACATCACACACCCTAGATCCAGCCACCTCTGAAAAGCCCTACCTGTGACCACGCAAGGCTTAGAGGAGCATCTAGGCACAAGTCATAATAGATCTCATGTAGCTAAATCCAGTGATATTTTTTAGTCTTCACCTTATTTGATCCTCTCAGTGGCATTTGACTCTGTTAGCAGACCTACCTGCCGTAAACTTTTTACCTGGCTCTCCTGACACTGAACTCTCCTGCTTTTCCTCCCAGTTCAGACTGTTGCTTCTCAGCTTCCTTTGATAAATAATCCTTGCCTACTTGACTGTTTAGTACTGATACCTGGTGTATGTCCTAGAGAATGGTAGGAGATGAGGTAACGTGGTGGGAGAAAGATCGTGCAGGGGTTTCATGGGATACAGTAAAAGCATTATTGTCAGTGCCAATGAAATTATACTTTTATATGTACAGTTTCATAAAATTGTCAATCTTGGTAGAATTTTTATTTATATAATTTCTATATATTACAATTAAGGCGCAACAAGCATTGAAAAGTATGATCTCCGTACAAATATGTGGACTCCTGTGGCAACTATGAATGGGAGGAGGCTACAGTTTGGAGTTGCGGTGTTAGATGACAAACTGTTTGTGGTTGGAGGGAGAGATGGACTGAAGACTTTAAATACTGTAGAATGCTACAATCCCAAAACAAAAACTTGGAGTGTGATGCCACCTATGTCCACACATAGACATGGCCTTGGTAAGTCTTAACTGTGCTCATTCACTCATAATGTCATATATTACATTTCCACAGCAGCTTACATTCTGTATCAGGCAGAAGACTGATGCAGCAGCTGAGTCAAGCATATGGTGGTGCACAGGATTTCGAAAGCAATGAGAGAAGACAAGTCTCAGAGCACAAGCTTTCAAGTCTCTGCTCACCTCATGTTTGCTAATGTCCCACTGGCTGAAACAAGTCACAAGGGCAAGCTCAGACTCAGTAAGCAGAGAAACAGATACCCGCTCTTCACAAAAGGAGCTGCAGAGTCACACTGCAAAGAGATATAAATTTAGAGAAGGAAGAATTTTTGGTTATACTGTCAATTTATTATAGTTTGGAAAAAGTTTAAATAGTTGCAGTTAGGAATTTGAAAAGTCATCATAAAAGATGGATAAATAGCGAGGAAAGTGTAGTTGATTTTAGCTAGTGTCTTAAGGATGAATAAAATCTAAAAATTTAGGTTTACCATAAAATCCAGGGTTGATAATACAATTTAACTGCATTCTTTCCCACTCCCTTGGGGTGGGAAACTTATTCTAATTTAGAGTAAATCTTTTTTAGTGCATAGGATATAATTACTCATGTGGTCCAGCTAGTTTTGTACACTAGATTATGTATGAAATACTACCCTTAGTCTAGGTGTCATGCGAAGGACGTTGAACTTCAGCAAGTTCAGAGGAAGTTAATCAAAATTTCATACTCTTCTTTAAGTACTGATTTGAAATTTTTATTCCATTCATTCAAAACATCTTTGTTTTTACTTTGTAATTTACTTTATAATAAATGTTATAAATTTGAACTTACAAATTTTTAAGAAATACTCTTTCTATGTGGGAATTATGATGATTTCATTTGAAAAGATGCTTCTGCTGCTAAACATTTTTTCAGAGCTGTTATTTAAGGAGTTTAGGTGAACACATTTTCTTCTAGCCCCTTGAGCAATTATATGTATTTATATATTATTTATACACATATAATTTAATATCTGTTATATGATCAGTAATACATATTTTTATATAATCATACATATATACACACATGTAATCTCTGACAGTACAAGTGGGACATAATATATAACAAGTGAGTAAAACAATATGTTGGTTGGGTTATGTATGAATGACGAATATTTTTAATTATCTGACTATGATTTCTAAAGCATAAACTTTTTTGATGGCTACATTTGTGTGTTTAAGGTATATTATACTTCTCTTCAATTAAAAGGTGAATTTTGAGATAAGCAGCAGACCTTAGGTCATAGCCCCTTTTCTCCTTGCAGGTGTGGCTGTGCTGGAAGGCCCCATGTATGCAGTCGGAGGGCACGATGGCTGGAGCTATCTGAACACGGTGGAAAGATGGGACCCACAGGCTCGCCAGTGGAATTTTGTTGCCACTATGTCCACGCCCAGGAGCACAGTAGGTGTGGCAGTACTCAGTGGAAAGTAAGTTCCATTTAAAATGCAGTAAACCAGGGGCTGGGGATTTAGCTCAGTGGTTTCGTCACCTGCTGCGCAAACACAAGGACCCGAGTTTGATCCCCAGTACCCAAATAAATAAATAAATAATAAATGAAAGGCAGTAAAACCAAATTGATTATTACATAGAGAAATACTTTGAATAAACTTAAAATAACATGTTTTTAATAATAAGAGTAAAATTACTATTTTTCTAAAAGAACACAGAGACAGAATTTATCATGCTTACCACATGCCAAGGATTATCAGTAATCCTATTAGATAAGGCTTATGGATGATGAAATTCAGGAAGTTGGGGGTTAAATGACCTGCCCACAATCACAAAGTAAGTGGTAGAACCAGTATGCAAACCCAGAGAGTCTGGTTCAAGAGTTCAAGCTGTAGAACGGGCATGGTGGCCCACACATCCATTGCCAGCACTTGAGAGGCTGAGGCAGGAGGATCACCACAAGTTCAAGGCCAGCTTGAGCTACATAATGAGTGTTTTGTTTTGTTAATTTTTTTACTTTTATTAGTATATGCATTTACAATCATCTTGGGGAGTGAGTACATATACATAATACATCTTGATTTTTTTTAATCCCTTTCCCTTCCCTCCTCATCCTTCCTCCTCTTAATTTCCCTTACCCATTTTCATTCTTGTTGATATTACTAATCTTAGCTCATGTTTATGGTATATAATATATATATTCATGAGGTTATTAGGTTCCTGTACATGATTTATCCTTCTACTTATTTCCTCTTCCCCTCCTCCTCATCCTTGGTCTCTTGGACTCCATCCCATTTGCAAGAGATCCATCCCCTTGTCTCCTTTTATCCATCTTTTATTATTCTCCTTGTTTGTACTTTGCCTTGCTCAAATGAAGAATAGCATATGGTATTTAAGCTTGTGTGTCTGCTTTATTTAATCAGCATTATATTTTCCAAGTGTATCCATTTTCCTACAAATGTCTCAGATTTGTCCTTCTTTATATCTGAATAGTATTCTGTTATATGTAGATACCACATTCCCTTTATCCAGTCATCTTTTCATGATGATAACATATACAGGCTACTCCCAGGATTTAGCTATTATGAATTGTGTGAATAGTATGAATTTAGCTATTATAAATATTGGTATGCATGTTTCAATGTAGTCTGATATCTTAAGTTCTTTGAGGAAGTTCATAGCAAGGGGATTTTCTTTGAGAAATCTCCATATTGATTTCCATAATGGTTGTACTAGTTTATATTTCCACCAACACTGTAGGAAGGTTTCTTTTTCATCACACCCCAGCATTTGTTTTGTTTTGATTTTTTGAGACAAGGCCTCACTATGTAGTTTAGGTTGGCCTCAAACTCACAACAATCCTCTTGCCTCAGCCTCCTGAGTGCTAAGATTCTAGACATGCACCACCATACCCAGCTATTTTTTGATTTCTTGATGATTACCATTCTTTCTGGGGTAAGATGGAATCTTAGCATTGTTTTAATTTGCAGTTCTGTAATAGCCAGAGATGTTGAACATTTTTTCATATATTTGTTGGCCTTTTGTATTTCTTCCTCTGAGTAGTGTCTGTTCATTTCACTTGCCCATTTCTTGACTGGGTGTTCTAATTTTTTAAATTTTATTTTAGGTGACCTAATTTTTTGAGTTCTTTATATATTCTGAATGTTAATCTTCTATCTGAGGAATAGTTTACGGCCAGCCTGAACTACATGGTGAAAGCCTGTCTCAAAAAAAACAACAAAGAGTTCATGCTCATACCAGTGTATTATTTTATCTATTCAAAGACATTTTAATATCTCAAATTGCGGCATATCATATAGCCAGTGGTGATTTATATACACACACACACACACACACACACACACACATCATCATCATCTAATTGGTAGCACATCTTCTTTCTTAATGGCACATAAATTGACAGCATGCTGTGTAATCAGTGGTACCTAAAATTTAGTGAAATACCCAAACAATAGCTTCTGCCTTAAGCATAGTAGTAGCACTGTTTCTTATTTCATTTGTTCTATTTACAGACTTTATGCAGTTGGTGGTCGTGATGGAAGCTCTTGTCTCAAATCAGTAGAATGCTTTGATCCTCATACTAATAAATGGACACTGTGTGCACAGATGTCAAAAAGGAGAGGTGGTGTCGGAGTAACAACTTGGAATGGTCTGCTGTATGCTATTGGAGGACATGATGCCCCTGCATCCAACTTGACTTCCAGACTCTCAGACTGTGTGGAGAGGTAATTTCCTGTGGAAGAAACTAGGAGCAACACTACAAACAAATACTAAGTTTCTGCTCTTTGAGATAAATGAACAGCTCTTTATTGAGCATCCATCACATGCAGAACGGTTCCATGGAGGCCCCATAAACATCGAGTTGTCTGCTCTAGAAATCTCTCTCTCTATATCCCAACAGACTACTCGGAATCTTCTCTTATCATTACTGTCTACTTTCCCTTAAACTCAGTTGCATAATTTATTAATTGAATCCTATGACAAATATTTACTCCATACCCATTTTGTATTGGACACTGCACCTAATAAAAGAAAAGGAGCTTGATGAATTTCAGAGAGAACGAATTCAGAGAACCTAAGAAAGAAGCAAAAAAGAAACATATCTGACCTATTTTGATATAAAATGAAATAATGTAGAATAATAAAATAAAAAACTAATGATAAGTCTTAAAAGTTGAACCAAGTCATCTATACTGACTATAGAAAAGTCAGTTTTGGGGCCAGGTAGAGAACCTAACAGCTGTGGAAAATTTGGTTGGTAGGTCAGGTTCCTGTCTAACCTGTTCAATCTAGTTCAAGAAATGAAGAGAAGTTAACATGTTTGGAGGTAGAATCAATACCAAAGTAGACAAGAATATGATTCATACAAGAAGCTGAAAGACAGCCATTATGGCCAGAGAACAAAGTGATGGAGAGAGTAGCAGGAAAGGAGGTGAAGTGGATGAGAACAGGCCATGTAGTCTTGAGACATTATTAGGGATTTGGGATTTCAAAGTGGAATAGGAAGTTAATGAGTAACAGAGAGAAAGTTGAACATTATTGGATTTTTTTAAGATTAACATGACTTATTTAATAAGTTGTAAATGATACAAGGATAAAAGGAAAAATCTAATACAATTTTTTAAAATCAAAGTTTTTTTTTTTATGATAATGAGTACTCCCTGTGGAATAATAAGCAGGCTTGGTTGTTGTTTTCTGAGAAAATAGTCAAATTACACCTGTATTTCACCTACACTGGAGAGAAAACAATTCAGACTATGTTTCTTACATGTTATGCTTCAGGATAGAAATACAAAAGTCTTAAGCTGGGCGTGGTGGTGCATGCCTGTAATCCCAGCACTTGGGAGGCAGAGACAGGAGGATCGCTTTGAGTTTGAGACCAGCCTGGGCTACATAGTGAGTTTAGGGCCAGCCTGAACTACAAAGGGAGACTCTTCCTCAAAAAAACAAAAAACAAACAAAAAAACAAAACTAAAAGTCTTTATGCACTTTGCCTTGTTAGTTATAAGCTCCCTGTAGTACTGCATCCAGGAAAAGCTGATACCAAAAGAGACACCAGAAGCAGCATTGGTCATCTTAGCATGAATTATTTGCTCTTAGACAACTATGGGCATTTCTAGTTAAGACACCTCAAAAAAGAAGACAAAGGTCCCAAAGGGGACAACTGCAGTGATTGAGGCTGTAAATCGTCTCACATAGAGCTTAATTTCCCCACTTTCTAAATAGGCAGTCTAAAGCCTTGAAGCAGTTCCTAGTATTATATTTACATCACTTCCTTTAATGTCAGTATTGTAGTGTTGTACATCTGCTAAATGAAAGTATAATATGGTAAGTTAAAAATTTTTAGGAAAATATTTGTCTTTTTCTCTTAAATATGTTCAGATGCGTCTTATTCATTTAGATATTAAAAAAGACTTGAAGAACAAAACTGTTTTTACATAAAATATTACAAGAACAATATCAACTCTAGTTCTAAAATTCTTTTTCAGATATGATCCCAAAACAGATATGTGGACTGCAGTGGCATCTATGAGCATCAGCAGAGATGCAGTGGGAGTCTGTTTACTTGGTGATAAATTGTATGCCGTTGGAGGGTACGATGGACAGACTTATCTTAATACAGTGGAGGCTTATGATCCCCAGACAAACGAGTGGACCCAGGTATGGCATTTTTTTTGGTACCAGGGATCAAACTTGGGACCTTGTGTCTGCAAGGCAAGCACGGTGGAACTGAGCTAAATCCCCAGCCTGGCATTTCATTTTTGACTGCCAAACTTACTCTCTTTGTGAAAATAACTCCTTTTGTAAAGAAGAACCTCTCAATTTTATCCAATATTGACTATACCACATAAGTACGATAAAGTCATCCCCTGAATAAATATTAAAAAATGAGACAGTATTTAATTCTCATAATATAAGTAAAGTCCAAAATTACCTTTGAAGTAAAGGTTAATACTCAAGAGAAATCAACAGCTTGGTAAAATGTTCCAGCATTGATAGAACTGATATCATCATAGGAAGGCTATAACAAAGGGTAGGAGATTGTGGAAAAGAAGAAGCAAAGTTAGAAAAGCTTGAACAATTTAGCCATATATGATATGTGAGCATAATTTTTAAATACTGATATTTGAGAACATTAAATTTCTGGTTTTAACCTAATGAAGGTGGTATTCCTAAATTACATCAACAAGTAATAAACTTGACTGCCAAACATATTTCTGGATGGCCTAACACTTGTACGAATAATCTTTTGAGATCTTTGCTTCCATCATCACAAGACCAGAATAAGGAATTTTATGCTTGTAATACCTAATTCAATATCTGGTACACAGAAGGCACTCAGTAAATATTTAACTGAGCCAAGGTTTTCTTACATAGAACAATACTAAGTATTTTCAAGAAAACAAAACTTTGGAGAATCCCTTCTGCCACAGAATTTAACTTCTTATGTAGGCGAGATGTATATGTGCAAGGGGAGAACCTATACGATAGTGATTGGTAATGTTTCCTCAAAGAGAAAGAAGAAAGTGGTTGTTGGGAAGGCCTGAGTGAGAAAGAAGCAGGATTTAAACTAAGCCTTAGTGAAATGATCCAGTTCAAAAAGGTTGGAAAGAGAGGAGAAATTATGTAATAAAACATGAAAGAAATTGTCCTGGAAAGAAAAATGCAAGGCACGTTGAAGAAGTATGGCTGGCTATAAGAATTCATTCTTGAGAAGAGTTCTCAGAGGGGAAAGGTAGGGTCAGAATGGAGACCTGTGAAGCTAGAGAATTTGATAACAAGAGGCCAGCAGAGATTTCACCCAAGAGAGTAATGCAATTGGTGAGTTGGGTCAGGTGCACGGAATTGAAAGCTGGATAAAAGGGAAAACATTTGCAAGATTGTCTCAGTCACAAGGCTTGAACTTTTAGATATAGATGTATTCTAGGGATACTACTGCATTGTGTCAGCTACTGTTTATATACTCACACTTCTTGGTTGGATTGAGTATAGCCTCTGAAGAAAACAGCACAAGAATGATTAGAGCAGTTCTTAGAAGTCAGCAGGATGGAATATTTACAGGGAAGAAGGTATTTCAACAGCAGAAGGAAGAATGAAGATAATCTGTCATTCACCAAGAATGTGATAGAAACAGGAAGCACCACACAGTTTAAAAAGTAAAGAGAAGAGTAAAATGTGGGAGTTAGAGGGCATTCAATTTTAGGATGATGTCTATAGTTGATATTATGCATATTTTATGTCCTACGCTCTCTTCTAAGCACTTTACATTTAAGAATTTACTTAATCTTCACATAACCCAATAAGATTAAGTATGATTATTTCCCCGCACTGTACAGGATGAGGAATCTAAGACACAGAACATAGCTAACTCAAGGTCATGTAGCAAATTACAGGAATTACAGGGCCAGGGATTTAGCTCAGGGGTTCCACCGCCTGCCTCACAAGCACAAGGTTCTGAGTTCGATCCCTGGTACTGCAAAAAAGGAAAAGAAAAAAAAAGAGTGGAATTACAATTTGAGTGTAGGATTTTTTTTTTCCACAATAAAGATAGCAAGAGAGTAGAAAGAGATTCTAGATGCTAGAAAGAACAAGCAAAACCAAAGAGCGTGTTCCTGAAAGCAAGCTGGGAAACAGAATTGAGATCAAAGACTGGTCATCATCCTTACCTGCTCAGACTTTCTCCCAGGTTTGAGGAAAAGATGACACTCTGAGTATGGAAAGGTGCACAGAGTTGTTAAGTGAAGTGAAGGATACAAAAAAGGACTTCAATTTGGTGACCTTGATCTTATTTCTTAATTAAGTGGCATCACTTGGTAGAGGGTGTAAGGGATAAGATTGAGGATATGAACTAGAGCCACAGGATTTCCTTAGAAATTACGTGATTGCCTAGCATCAGCCTCCCAGAAGTGTGAATGACAGTCAAGGAGCCCAAAAAGAAGTAAAAGAATACCTTTTTCTGCAATTATTTGATTTAAGCCATTACGCCAGTTATTAGAAACTCCATTGGCTAGTATTTGAGGCTTGTTTTTACAGATAATTCATACTTTGTGCTGAATCACTCAGTATCAAAATCAGTAATCTTTGACTGTACAGCTATTTTGTTTACATGCCACCTCTAATTACTATTTTAAAGAATTGACTTATAACCATAGTATCTGAAAAATAAATGTTTTCCTTTCAGTGTTCTAATAAATGAGGCTGAAATGAGATTACAAATTCTTAAGCTACCACCCACTCCTGCTACCAGCCTTGACCACAAGCATGACTGCACTGCATTTAATAGATTCTCTAAACATTCTAGCTAGTTGTCATATTGTCTATTCCTAGTGCAGAAACTTGGGTACTTTGAGAAAAGTTGCTAATTACAAACTAACATTTTTATTTAAATTATTTAAGTAGAAGTTATTATTTCTATAATACTATAAATAGATATGGTTTTAAAATAGCTAACTTGATTTTTCGTGGACATGTAACAATGATCAAATAACTGATTCAGTGGGAAACAACTGAGAATTCCACAGTTGAAGCCAGATCTGTTCTTAAAATTCACTCATTGGTGAAGGGGTTAGAGATTGGGTCAAAACTGATGAGGAAGTTATTTTGGTATTGTAGATTTGATAGAAACACTTTGTTACATACCTTAATACTCATAAGAACAAAACAGACTTTCTTAGTATTTTGCATTAGTCACCTCCACCTCTAACTTTTAACTTTCTCTGGTCAAATACACAAATTCTTAACTGTGTTCAGAATACTCCTTCAAAAACTATTCTTGTCCACACATTTCAACTATGAATTGTCTGATGTCTAGGATATATTTTTTAAAAGACAGTAAGTGTAAAATTTAAGACTTGCTACACACCCATAAAATGATGTTCGTGTCTCTAACACCCGTCACCCCATCTCACAGTCAGAGAGCTTGTTCGTTGGGTTAGTTTCTACTCCTAGGGAGTTGAATGACTGGTATTTATTTTTTATTTGCTCTGCTGAAAAGCAGTAGAATGGGATTACCATTTCAGCCATACACATGGAGGATTTATTTGAGATTCCCTAGGCATGCAGTTCTTTGTGTGCATTCTCTAAGATGCCATGGCTGTTAGAGACCCCCTCTACATAATACTTGACAGTTTCTTCATAGTAGTCATAAAGTTACTTTAAGTGTTTTTGTTTTTGTTTTTGTTTTTGGTACCCGGGATCGAACTTGGGTCCTTGCCCTTGCGAGGCAGACGGCAGAACCACTGAGCTAAATCCCCGGCTCTTTAAGTGTTTTTTAATATTCATATTATGCATCATTTTGGCCAAAAGTTTATGTTTTATTTTATTTATTTATTTTTTTTGTAGTGGGGATCAGACTCGGGACCTTACGCTTGCGAGGCAGGCGCCCGCACCACTGAGCTAAATCCCCAGCCCAAAAGTTTGTGTTTTATGTAAATTCCTGAGCCATTAAAAAAAATCACTTTTTTAGGGCCGGGGATTTAGCTCAGTGGTTCCGCCACCTGCTTCACAAGCGCAAGGTCCCAAGTTCGATCCTATGTACCAAAAAAAAAAAAAGAATCACTTTTTGTTTTGTTTTGTTTTTTGGTACTGGGAATTGAACTCGGGACTTTCCACTTTTGAGGCAGGTGGCGGAACCACTGAGCTAAATCCCCAGCCCAAAAAAAAGAATCACTTTTAAAGAGGAGTTGATTCTATATAATATACACAAAACAACTTTGACATCAAGAGTAGGGGTTAGATAAGGGACCACACCAGTAGGGCTGGGGCAGCTGGTAAGAGGAGCAGGTCCTTGTCAACAAGTTACAAAATATTTCAATATTTCACCAATGGGTATAGTTACATTTTAGTTGACATTTTAACCCAAGTCCAACATGTATTTCTCTTTGTTTCTTTTTAGGTTGCTCCACTGTGCCTAGGAAGAGCTGGAACTTGTGTTGTGACTGTAAAATTATAATTTTACATTTATATGCATTGTTTTCTAAGTGAAGATACCCTCATTCTTTATTAATTTAGTACAGATGTTCTACTATCAGTGGATAAATTTTTAGCAGACATGGCATCCCACATTCCTGGGCACAAAGTGCCTCATCTTAAAGTGAATATGTTAAACCAAGGGAGGAAGGAGTAGATGGACCAGGATCAAATACTTTCATTCCTTAATAAATCAGGACTACAGCTGGTAAATTGTGAACATGTTTCTGATATAAAATATGAGGGCAAATCCACTGGTCAAAACATAATCCATTACTAACTAGGAATTTATTTTATTCACAGTCAAGCACATTTTACTCCCACTACCTACCCAGACTTATTTTATTACAGTGCAAACATATCATATAAAGCTTAAAATACTGATCTGTAAGTTTACTACACATGAATTGCAGTAATTTTTGTTTAATCACAATCACTATTTTAATGATAATAAAGATACACTATTTAATTTTTCAGAAAAAGCTATATTGCATATGCTTTGGTTGTGGATTTTATTTCTAAAATTGGCTTAGTCCAGTAAATGAAGAACACTAAAGCATTAAAACAACAGTGACCAAATAAACACTTGATGTGATCTTTGGGGCCTATTTAAATGTTCATTCCATTACATCTAAGAATCACCAAGAACTACATGTATACTATTCAACTAAAATTGAAACATGATGTTTTACATTAAATTTAAGATTTGCAAATTTATGTAGAGAAAATAAATTTCATTTATTTTATAATGTTCACCTGGTTAATTATATGAATTTGTTTGCTTTTCTATTACTGAAGCTATTTTGATTTTTTTGTCTGTTACGATTGACAAAATTGTTTAGATAGTCATTTGCGTTCTCAAGTCTGTTTGCCTCCCCTGCCTTGTTTTTTATGGTTTCCACAGTGCTTCTTTATAATCAGACAGTTTTGGGGGAATGGTCTAATTGAATGTTTGAAAAATGAGTTTAAAGTGTTTGTTACCTAAAGTTTTGTACATTTGTAAACTCTAATTACATATGTGAATGTTAATACTCTTCAATTAATTGTCAAATCTTTCCAAATCATGCACTGGGCAGTAACATTTTGTGAAAATTCCTTTATGGTATAACTCATTAACTTATATCTTAATTATAAAATGAATATAAACTAAATTACCATCTTTTAAAATATGGTGTTATGGTGAATGTTTTGATATTTTATATTAGGTAACTTTTAGATGCTCTCTAAAAATCTTTTTAAATCTTTTTTTTTATGAAGTGATTTTAAATGCACATGAAATGTTTCTACCTTGGAGCCCAAGAGAGTACTTCTGTTCCTAAAACAAATCCTATAGTTATGGGTATAGTCACTAAGAATGGTGATAGTGATTTCTCCATGTATTAATATTTCATATGTCCATTTTATTAAGAATATGAATTCAGTTGTTTTCCTGACAAGGAGAAATGAGCTGTGCTGAAGTAAGAGGAAAGGAAGTAAGAGGAAAGGTGTAAGAAATGAAATAAAAATTTCAGTAACAGAATCTTCAATACATTGTCACCTCCTTTAGGAGCTAAAATCTGTGTTTGTTCCTTGGAACGCTCCTTATCCACTGTATTTCCCTGTGCCTCACAGTGGAGAACAGACTCATGTTAAAGTAAAGGAACTGGTTCTCCTCTCCAAGGAGTACTTTCCTTTATGGGATTTTCTCCTTGATAAAGGGCCTCTCTAGTGCAGTTTTGTAACAGGCAATAGCACCTACTCTCAAGAAACCCATTTCTTTTCAAGTGACAGCTTTTGCCAAGGTTTTCATTTCTCTTCCAGTCCAAGGTTTTATAAATTTCAAAAAAAAAAAATGTGGCTTTTTCTTATACATTGCTGCCTTGGCATTTACTATTACCCTATCCATCAAGATGTCCAGGTGGTCTTTATTTTAACCCCACGATTAATAACCACTTCATAAAAATAACATTTGCTAATAATTACTGAAGGCTTACTAGGAACAGGAACCAAGTTTTTGTATGCATTAGTGTACTTAATTCTCACAACAATCTACCTCTTCTGAGGTAGATTCTATTATTATTCCTTTTATATTACGGAAAATAAAACTGGGGAACAGAGATTAACAGCCAGGAAGTTGCAGACCAGTTCAGAGGCAGGTAGTCTGACTCAGGAATGTTCACTCTTACCACTCCTGTCCCCAGGTAGAAAGAGAGGTTTTGTTTTATTAAGGAATCATTTATTTCAGTAAAAAAGAAAAATTAAGAGTCTTTATGCCCTTTAATGATAAAACATATAATAGTCGCCAGGCATAGTGGCGTACGCCTGTAGTCTCAGCACTAGGGAGGCTGAAGCAGGAGGATCACCAGGAGTTCAAGACCAGCCTAGGCTATATAGTGAGTTTGAGGTCAGCCTGAACTACATAGAGAGACCCTGTCTCAAAAAAACATAAAATAAAATTTTTAAAATATGCAATAGTCACATCCCATCAGAAAATTTTGCTTCCATAGTATTTGGAGAAATTTTTGTTTAAATACCTTACATAGTTTTATATGCACTTTGCTTTAGAAAAGTAAACACAATGAAATATAACATACATTTCAAATTTTACAAATATTAGATATCTTGCATCACATCATACTAAACTACAAAAAAATCTATTGGTTAAAAATAAGCATTATTGCCAACAAATTATTGCCAATAACTTAGGTGAAATAGACAAATTCTTAGAAACATACAAATTACCAAAACTGACTCAAGAAGAAATAAAAATCTGAACAGACCTATAACAAGAAATGGAATCAGTAATTAGATATAAACAAATAAGTCCAGGATTAGATTCACTGATGAGTCTACCAAACAGATAAGAAATTAACACCCCTCCTAAATCAGTCCAAAATATGAAAGAGGAGGAAACATTTTGTAACTCATTATATAGGACCAGCCTTACCTTAATACTAAAACTAAGACAAGGACATCACAAGAAAAGTACAGACTAATATAACTTATGAATATAGATACAAAAGATTTACCAAATACTACCAAGTCAAATCCAACAGCATATTAAAAGGACTATACACCATGACCAAGTGGGATCCCAGAAATACAGAGATGATTCAACATAGAAAAACTAATCGTACAACACAGATAATAGAATAAAAGAGCAGAAATATTTCAACTGAGAAGAAACATTTAACAAAATCTAATACCCTTTCTTTCTTGGCTGTAGTGGTCAAGTGCCTGGATTGCTGAGTGCTATGAACCCAATCCCCAGGAACAAATTCCCTAGGTCACTGCCATTCTGGAACATGCCCTGGGACTCTCAAAGCAAAGTCTTTTACCTGTACAATTTTGAGGATGCAAAGGATGGAGCCCTGCTAGTTCTTGTGATAGTCTCAAGCCATGTTTTCTAGTCCCCTGTTCCAAAATACTTGGTTTTTTAATGCTAATCTTTTCAACAACCAAGTTCTCCACTGCTTTGTCTTTGGAGACCACAACTTTACTAGAGCTTTCTTTCTGGCCAAACTCAAAACCTTATTTTCAAGGTACAGCTGGTTAAAGGCCTCAACAGTAGCCATGCCACTGCCCTTAATCTCAGTCTCCATCAAAGTCTCAGGACAAGAGCAAAATGCAGACACATTTTCCACTGAAGAATAACACATGGCCAGGAGTCCAGCTGCCATTGGAGTGCTTCTTCCCAAGTGACATCTTCTGAGCCTGGTCTTATCAGCTGCATTTATGTCAGCATTATGGTCTCCTGAGCCCAGACCAGAATCTTCCAGCAAGCTCGGCTTCTGGCATTCTAGGACTCCTTCTCCAGCCGCATCTCCAAACTTTTCCAAATTCAAAAAGCCAGTTCCAAAAGCTCCTGAACCACAAGGCTAGATAATGTCACAGAAATGACCCCATTTCTCAGGTACCAAAATCTCTTATTTTCTCATTGCTGGGACAAAATACCTGACACTTACAAGTTAAAGAAGGAGAGACTTATTTTAGCTCAGTTTGTAGAGGTTTCAGTCCATAGTCAACTGGCTCCAAGGAAGGGTGGCATGGAGAAAGGGCATGGCAAAGGAGAAAGAGCTATGGCAAGGCAGGCAGGAAGCAGGGTTGAGACCAAGGGAGAAGGAGGGATATAGACCAGTCCAACTCATGCCCACAGTGACCCACCTCTTCCCAGCAGGCTGCACCTCCCAACATTACACCCAGCTATAAATCCACCAGTGGACTAATCCAGTATCACACACCCATGAGCCAGTCACCTCTCAAAATTCCCACCCTTGAGTGCATGAGGCTATGGGGGATCATCTAGATATAAGCTATAGCACTCTGAATACAAGCATAAATCTTCATGACCTTGGAGTTAGCAGTAGTTTCTCAGATACGGCACCAAAGCCACAAGGAACAAGAGAGAAAAATAAACAACTTAATCACAATTAAAAGCATCTGTGTATCAAAGGACACTATCAAAAAAGTGGAAGACAACTCACACAATAGAAGAAAATATTTGCATCATATATCTGATAAGGGACTATAGTATCCAGACTATAAAAGGTACTCCTATGTTCAACAACGAAAAGAAACAATGTTAAAATGGACAAAAGACTTAAACATTTCTCCAAAGAAGATATATAAATGGCCAATAAGCACATGAAAGATGTTCATCATCAGTCTATGCAAATCTACACTACAATGCAACACCACTTCACATGCACTAGAATGGCTATAATTTTTAAAACTAAGTTTTGCAGAGCATGTGGAGAAATTGGAACTTTCATTGCAGGAATGTAAAATGGTACAGCCGCTGTGGCAAACAGTTTGGCAATAACTCATTAAGTTAAGCATAAAATTACCACATGACCCAGCAATTCCACTCCTGGCTATATACTGAAAAGAACAGAAAACACATGTTTAGACAAAAACATGTGCATAGCTATTCATAACAGCACTAGGCACAACAGTTAAAAGGTGGAAACAACCCGGATGTCCATCAGGATGAATAGATAAAGTAAATACAATGGAATTTATTTGGCCATAAACAGAAATGAAGTACTGATGCATGCTACTAAATGGATGACCCTTGAGCATATTATTCTGAGAGAAGCAAGATATAAAAGGTCACATATTGTATGATTCCTTTTATATGAAATATCCAAAATGGGTAAATCCATCCAGAAACCAGATTAACGATGGTTCGAGAGTGAAAAGAAGGTGGAGTAAAAAGTGATGTCTTGCTAAGTAAGGTGTTTTCTTTTGGGATGATGAAACTCTTCTAGAACTAGTTACTGATAATGGTTTCACTTGGCGAAACCACTAATGTCACTAATGGTAAATAATTTTATGTATACTTTACCACAAGTTTTAAAAACTATTAGATACATAAATTATTTTTCAAACATTGTAATAATAAGCATCACTAGAATTAAAATTCTGGATTAATATGCATCCCAAACAGGATTTTTTTTAGTATATTTGCAAATAAATGAATTTTGAATATCCAGTGAAAAAGCTCTTTAGATCTTCTTTTCCATATTAGAAGAGAATGAGAAACAGTGATAAACATGAGGGAGAAGTTCGATTGAGAGTTCTTCCCCTGTGCTTGGTTCATAACAGGCATTCTATAAATGTTTGGTGAAAGTCAGAAAAAATATCTTTTCATACACTCCAGATTATTGATAATAACCTTAACTCTTAACTAAGAAACACATTCAATAAAACAATCATTTTATTGTGACTGGATTATAACTCCTCAAGTAATATTTTTATTATATTTTGTAGCTGG